CCCTAGATTTTCCTCCCTAGTCACAGGGGCAATCCATGCTGGGGATCTGGTAGATTACATTGGAAACATCTCCCACTTCCAAATGATCTTTACAGTGCACAATTTGGCCTCTTATGGTAACCTTTGGCCAAAGAACAGCCCAAAGAAAACAGAGAAGTTCCCTGAGGATGGGCTCTAGATTGAGTTCGGAAGACAAAATCTCTGGTCCCATTGACTGACCCAGATTGGATCCTGCAACATTGTCCTGGGACATGTATATTCACCTTCATTCATCAGGAATGAAGTGCTTAAAGCCACCAGACTTGAAATTCTAGACCTAGACAACCTAGAACTACGCTGCCTTCTGTCCGATCTTAGTACATAAAATTATATATTGCAATGTCCTACCTATCAATGATTACTTCAGCTTCAACAACAACAATACAAGAGCACACAATAGATACAAACTCAAGGTAAACCGCACCAAACTTGATTGCAGGAAATAAGACTTCAGCAACAGAGCGGTCAATGTTTGGAATACTCTACCTGACTCTGTGGTTTATTCCCCAAACCCCCAAAACTTTAACCTTAGACTGCCTACTATTGACCTCACCCCTTTCCTAAGAGGTCTGTAGGGGGCGTGCATAAGCACACCAACATGCCTATTTTTTTTTTTTTTCTTATGTGTATCCATTTCATGTTTTCATAACCATGCTTATACCTGTTATCTTATAATCGCTTGACAAAATAAAATAAATAAAAATAAATAAATAAAGACATTTGCATAATGGTGAGGAGATTGCGGGGCGGGGGGAGAAGGAAAGGCTTGGAGGAATGTTTTAGAATCCCAGGTCCTAGGTGAGGAGTGGGGAGACCTCAAGGAGCAGGTAGAGAAATCTTGTGGGTCCCAGGCTTCTCTCGGGGAGCAGCAACCCTCCATAAATCTGAAGGCAAGGGTGAAGGATCCACAATTCATCATCGTTTGCATCCTGCACAGATCTGCCATATGGTAAAGGAGGCTGCTCGCCTATGTGCCCCAGATTTGTAGTCTTAATATGTCAGCTTGATTCATTCTCTTTGGGATGTCACCACTTTCCAGAATCAAATGACCTATCCTCTCAGAGAAGCCAATTACTTCTCATTCTGTGAGATTCAACCTTGAATGCATAGCAGTTTTTTAAAGTCCTTAGTCGATCTGAAGGGAACATTCTTTGCTCATAAAAAAAGAATTCAAACAGACAGGTGGCTAAGGGAGGATTGAAAGTGCAACTGGCTGCCTTAAATGCACCACGCTTTGCTGGAACGGCATGAATTTAATTATATCTGAGTTCTTTAAAGATTTTGCAAGGGGTAATTCCTGCTAGGCTGCAAAACAATAGTCTTTGGTATGCTGCTGAATCATGGAGAGATTGCCTAGGGCAGAAGAGCACAACCCAGAGCCTGAGGGCTGCTTATGACCTCCAAGAAGCTTATGTATACCTTTTACCTCACATGTTTCTAGACGCTCCTTTTCTTTATTCACTTTATGACTCCTACTGAAAGAATGAAAATCATACATGTCAAATGTTTGCACGCGATGAGTATTATAGTTCTGTTTACACAACAAGCATAAACTGGCCGTTGAATTAATTAATGCAGTTTCATAATATATGGAATCATAGCTTAATATGTTGGCTGGGCTTCTAAAAGATGCTATAAATAAAACTAGTTGATTAGTGACAAGCAAGCTTAGAATTCTCTGAAAATACACTTGCTAAGCCTTGATCTGACCTGGTTATTATTTATTTAGCATATGGCATATCATACACAGACTAGCAGTATAAATTAACATTTCAACTAGATTAGTAGAACCCAATAAAATGTCAATGTCAAAAAGATCTATGTTCAAATATTGATGTCTAGGCCATCTAACCATTGAAGGACAGCATTGTTTATATTTAAAAAGTCAGATATATGCCCTCAGTTTAAACCTGGTCACGATGTGATCTACAGTTTGACGTGGCATCCAGCAATCATACTGAGGGGAGGATGCTATGCCCCATTTATACAGAGAGTCCCAGCAGACACCATGTGAGATACGAATCCTCTTCAGGTTGTCCATTGCTGGCATAGAAGTTCAAAGCCTGGCACCTTTTTTGTGGGGTCCCAAAGATGCTTTTTCAAGAGGCAACTGGACTTTGCGGTTTTTCTTTGAAGATGTTTCGCTTCAACTCTGCTGAAGAAGCTTCTTGGATGAGAAGCAAAGTGTCTTCAAAGAAAAACCACAATGTCCAGTTGCCTCTTGAAAAAGCACCTTTGGGACAACCATGACCTGAATGCCTGAGAATCTCCATAGACATGTTTGTGGGATCATTTATATCTCTTCCTATAACTGGATGTTCAGCGACCTGTTTAGCTTTCCATTGGGAATTGATGTTAAAGTTTTTGGGCAGATGTTGTGCAAGTGCCAGTGGGGGCTTCCTTGGATTTGAGTCTTCAGGCTGATACTGTAAGTGAGGAAGGTTGACATGCTAGGAGTGGCCTGGTAAAATGTATTGTATGATTACATCCCATGGTTAAGGGTAGCAGTGCAACATCCCATTTAAGAGCGAGCTCCTCTAAATTTGGACAGCTGTCAATCTCCTTAACCTGCTTGCTGGGGCATTATAAGAGGTAAAGTGCTACATCCCTGCGGGCTACAGACTGAGAAAACGTTTCTTCGTGTATACTTCCAAAATTGAAGGGAAAATGCTGTTACTATGAGTTTTCGAACATTTCACACATATAGTACCTTGTGCTCAAACATGGGAATGGGATCTAGTGAAGTCAGTGTGGGGATGGCTGCTGCTTTCTTCTAAAAGGCTGACACGAGATTGCTATTTTTCAGGGAAAGACACTCAGCACATGCCTCAAAGGCTTACTTTATATTAACAGCAATAGAAAGTTTAAAAATATGATTCTTCCACATTGGGGAGATCTATCACCCTTTATAGTATTAAGATGAACACATTTAAGATTTTTTTTTTTGTTATTTCATCTTTGATTTTTATATCCGTTTTATTTACTGAGCCCTGCAGCTTTAAGACTGGGAAGGAAGGACAAAAAGCTCTTTGGGAATACATTTTGTAGATGCCTGGAAGTTATTGTGTAGCTTCAGTGCGTCTGCCATCATCAGTGAAGGCTCAGAGGCTTGGAGAAGCAGCTAGATTAACTACTGTCGCTTTGGGAGAGAACCAAAAGTTCCCAAATCCTCTTTCTCTAAACAAACAGACAGGAAAAAAAAGAAGCCAGAGGATGTTTGAATAATGTTTTTGAAAAAGGATTTGTCTATTACCCCAAAGACAGGATAACCAGTTATAATATAAAGATGTGGAAATTCAAGAGCAAAGGAGACAGTATTCACCAGAACTGGATTTTTCACTGCACATGCCTGTTACTGAGATATGATGAGGATGTTACGTATGTTTTCTGTATCTTGTACAGAGGTGGATTCATAAACTGTACAGATGCAGATAGATAACTCAACAGGATGTCCATAACAAAGAATATTTATTGGTTCGTCAGGTATCCTCATAACTCACATTTGTGACAAAGTTCTTCTTTAATGACCAATCCCTTTGTATATCTGCCTTGTAGTAAAAGATGGTTATCTCCTAACCCATCTTGTAGTGATGGAAAGAAGGTGCCATGAGTAAGAAGAGAGTTCAGACAAAGAATGAGGAAAACCTCCCCCAACCCACCAAGGGTCAATTCAGTGACCAATCAGGATTACAGATGTGGTCACGTGACATGGACTACATTTCCCAGGATACCTTTAACTACATTTACTATGATGCATTCCCTTAAGGGGACAGCTCACAATTCCTAAGTAACTATCCAATTCCCATAGACTGGCTGGGACAGCACAATATGTATATGAAATCCTAGCTTGCATTCACACAACATTCTTGACCATGTTATTGGATTCCCCCAAACTAATGGAACTACTGAATATGTTCTGCCAACCATAGAATTGTAAGGAGCCATTTAAATCCTCAAGGCCTATCTCTGCTTTGTACAGATCTCCAAATTAAAGCACCCTAGACAGATGGGCTGTTCAGCCTGTGCTTGGACACATTGTCTGAAAAGAGATCCACTATCTCTTTGGGTCATTGACTCTGTTGACAAACTACTGTTGCTATCAGAAGTTTTGTCTAATATTAAGCTAGATCTCCATCTCTGCCACAATGACTTGCTCACAGAGCCGGTCTAACCAGATCAGTTAGAGACCCGGCAAATGTAAGACTGCCTAAATGCTGTTCAGAGTTAATTTTCTTTAGACTATTTTTAGCTTAGCCTTTTGTATTAATTCTCCCTGCTTCTTTGGTTTGTCATTCAATAGATTAGGGATAACCAGGTTAAAAATGTTGAAAGAAAGCGGCTTAGGATTCCATATCATAGGATTCCATCATCATCATCATTCCATCATCATCCATCATCATCATCATCATCATCTATATTTTCTTATTTGTTTTATTTCACACTTCTTAAGCACCTATTTCCATCAGAGAGGGGCTCATCTTTATCCTGTTTAATGATTCTGGCAAGAAGCCTTGATCAAAGATTTTTTAAAAATTCTGAGCAATATCCTTCCCAGAGAAGCTATCCTTACTACATCTGATGAAGATTGCTTTGCTTAGGAAGGGAAGCATCACACATTTCCTCATAGAAGTCGGTGGGAGCCATTCTCTAAAAGGGGAGAAAAGCTATCAGAATAACGCTGACATAGTGGTGTATGTTGTCATTTTCCCATGATAACTATTAAGAATTTGGTTCCATTCTTCCTTGTAAGCATAGCCCTCTCCATCCTAGTCCAATCAAGATGAAACATATAAATGTTGGGAGCTATTATTAACACATCTAAACAAAAGTGGAATAGGAAAATCTTCTGGGAATGTTTGGAATTAATGGTGTTATTAATAAAGAATGAGCTATTACTAGTAATATCCTCCCCTTTTCCTCCCTTTTCTGTGTTTTCTTTAACTCCTCCTTCTACTTTACAGTATGGGGTGAGTTATCCTTGTCTTCTGCATCAAAACCAAGTGCTTCTGACAGCCCTAGAGGAGTTGCAGATGCGCTGTGCCAGCCTGAAGAAGGAAAACGGTCTGCTGGTAAGGGGCATGCAAGAGCTGAATACCCTGTACCCAAATGTTGTTTAGCCAAGCAGGATTGACCAGTCTATGGCTCTCTAGATGTTGCTGGGCTTCAACTCTTATCAACCTTGGTCATTAGCCAAGGCTGGTGGTGGTGGTGGAAATTGAAGTGCAACACTATCTGGAGATCTGTAATTGACAATCCTGAATTCCTGTATTGGGCAGCAAAGATGGTTTATTTAATTTCGAAGATGTTTCTTTGCAATGATATTTGAGGGAATTAAAAAAAAAAAGGGTGCTTGAAACTCTTAGTTCCAAATGATGCAGACCAATGCTTTCAGCACAAGGCTGGACAAACTGTTTTGGCACTTGAAATAGAATATCCAAGCCACGCACCACTTCTGCTAATTAAAACAGGATACTACTTAGCAAGCCTTTGTCCTGCCAAAGTTCCACTGAGTGAAAGGGCAAGATTTCCTTCAAGCAAGATTTTATAATTGCAGTTAGACTTTCTTGCTGTCTGCTTGGTTCAGATCTTTCTCCCATTTCTCCATCAATCTTAAAAAACATTTTGAAAGTACCATATTGCTTAAAGAGGCTGATGAACCTTGGATTGTAAGGAGCTGTCTTATCTTAAGCTAGGCTGTTGAGGCTGGGGGACTGGACTCATCTGCTGACTGAAATGATGAGAACCAGACTACAAAATGTAGATGGGGTCAGGATGAAGAAATGGACAAAGCTAACGCAACAAGGACAGTCTTTTTAAATTAATACAATTAATTAAGCAGTATTTTGGGGGTACTGCAGGCTGCTCCTAAGGCTTCAGATGAGCACAGGAGGCCTTGAGGCCTCAGATTCTACATGTGTGTTCTACCTAGTGCAAATTTCTCCAACCTAGTGCCCCTCCAGATGTCTCTATTGTAACTAGGGAAGAGGGCGGTTGCAATCCCACATATCTGGAGGTCATCACAATGGATAAGGCTGAAGTTGTCAGCTTTGATTTGAAAACTTTGTCCAAGATCTCAGACACTGAAAGAAGTCCTGCTCACAGAGAAGTCTTCTCCAGTTTTTGTGCTTACTACTTTTTCAGGATTTTTTGTGACCCTTCATATACCAATATGGGCCACTCACTGCTTTCTGAATGCAGGAATACATAATGTCAGCCTCCATCCACCTCTCAGTGTATTGCAAGTGCATCCCACTTAGGTATTTTCCAGTTGCAATTAAAAACTGCTGCTTTTTGACCTGAGACGTCTTAAGCCCTTCAGAGTAGACGGTTTCCACTGCTTTGTTCAGGTCTAGTAGCAGTTCCAGCTCTCATTGGCTGCAGTGCCTGACATGCCTCTTTTCCCTCCAGCGATTAGTTGCTACCCATCTCAAACTAGGCTGTCAGACTATACTATTCTCTGCTGGTCAGCTCTCGGTTTGTTCATTTTTAATCATCTTGCAGTGGATCCAAAATGACCTATTAAATCAATGAACCATCCTCCACTCTAGAAGCTCATGCTCCTTTCAACCTTTACATCTGTGTATCTCCCGGTATTAGCCCCTTTCAGTTTCTGCTCAGGCTGGGTGAAGCATGCTACCTTGTTTTCCCTTCCCCTAATCAGATGTATAGCCTCAAGAGCCGTGGTGGCAAAGTGGTTAGAAGGCAGTATTGCAGGCTACTTCTGCTGACTGCTGCTTGCCAGAAATTTGGTCATTTGAGTCTCACCGGCTCAAGGTTGACTCAGCCTTCCATCCTTTCGAGGTTGGTAAAGTGAGGACCCAGATTGGTGGGGGAAATAGGCTGACTCTGTAAACCATTTAGAGAGGGCTGTAAAGCACTGTGAAGTGGTATATAAGTCTAAGTGCTATTGCTATTGCTCAGAAGATACCATAAAGGAAAAAAAGGGAAGGGTCTCTATGAATATCAAAGGAGATAATGTGAGAAAATGGTAGAGGTGGGAGTGAAGAAATCCATGTATATAAATATCAGAAAAAACAAAGGCAGGATACAGGGACAATTAAGGAGGGAACAACCCCTAAAAGGAAAAGGCAGGCACTGGTAGACCAGTCTAGGCAGAAGCAAGCCAGTAAGGTTTGACTTTCCTTCTTGGATGGGAAGGACAAGAAACATAGGAACAGCCAATCTGTTCTTGTGGTGACCATAATCCAGATTGAGCATATGCCCAGATTCTTGATCAACCAAGGGCAATCTTAAAATACATTAAGAACTACCTCATCCCAGTTACATTGACCCATCCCACCTGGTCAAGCAGGGAGGATGTACTGCATATCCCACCAGTCAAGGTATTTCAGCTGGCAGGATCTAACAGGAGGGGCTTCTGTGCTGTTGCCCCACCCTTTTGAACGTTTTACCCTCAGAGACGAAGTAAGCTCCCCACCCTTCTGGCTTTCCGGAAGAGTATAAAGACCTGTCTCTGCCCATTAGCATGGGATCTAAGATGTAACCCTGGGGATGGCTGATGGCTTGAGAATATTCCTCGTGCCTTGTCAACCTTTTAGCCACCTGAATTTTTTACTTTGAATTTCACTTTTACATTGTAGATATTAATTTTTTTCTTAATTCTGTTTTTAATCTGTGCTTTTACTTGCGTGTTTATGTTGTTGTAAATGGCACAGAGTCACAGGTGGGATGGGCAGTGTAGAAATTTAATAAATAAATTTAAAAAATCTGGAGTGGAATTTCTGAAGTTGCTTTAAGCTTAATAAACAGCTGGAAGATTTTAAATTATAACCTAAAATGCATCATCCAAGCTGCTTTCTATCCAATTAGATTGCCTTCATCTCAGGTTATGACTCATGTTCTAATTTAAGAAACCATCGGCGGACCATACCATACCTGGGGGAAAAAAAGGTGGTTATTACTGCCCTCCTTGCTGAATGAACTTTTTTCCCAAAATGGATCCCTCTCCAAAAGTAAAACTGGGTCAAAAAGGCAGTTCAGATCTTTCTTACTTTCTGTTTCCCAGCGTAAGACCTGCTTCCCGGAGACTCAAGAGAAGGTGAGGCATTTGAAGAGGAAGAATGCAGAGCTGGCGGTCATTGCGAAACGTTTGGAGGAGAGAGCCAGGAAGCTGCAAGAGGCCAACCTCAGAGTGGTAAGTGACCCAAGCCTGGGTGGCAGACAAGCCCAATCAAGCTGCCCAAGCTGCAAACTTTTTTTCAAAAACAATGAATTTTGATTTTTCTTGACTATCAGAATTATGAAGCCCTACATTAAGTCTGTTATAACTGCCTACAGAGACTGGAATTCTGATCTCTTGCTCAACTATGATAATCACTGATTAATTTTGAGTTCTCATCTTTCACCCTCTTTCACCTTTCACATGCACATACCCACATATTCTTTGTTGTTTATTAATGGTCATTCCCCAAATGTGTTGTCATTTTTGTATGGAAGAATCTGTAGGAATCATGCTTTGTTTGCAAGAAAATTCCAATTTAATCCCTGATGTGGCCAAAGTGGTTAGAAAAATCCCAACCAGAACCTTTAGAGAAGAAATAAACTGTAACTCCCATCAACTTTAGTCAGCATGATCAATAGTAAAGCATGATGGGAATTGCAGTCCATATCTGGTGGGCCTTACATTGCCTGCCATTGCCTTAGAAATAGATTTCTAGTCAAGTAAGATAGAACAGAGCCAGATAGACCAATGGTTTGACTCTTAAGTCAGCTTATCTTCTTAGTCATTTATTTATTTGTCCCAAAGATTGGTCTATTAGACAACAGTCAGTCTTTTCTTGCTGTAGGTGAATGCACCAATAAATGTGAAGAGCTCCTGTGCAGGACTGTGCAAAAGAGCGCTGGCGCGCCAACGGGCTACAGATCTCCAAGAACAAGCCAATGCACTCCTGATGAAAGACAAACAAATCAATGCTCTGCAGAGGGAATGTCAAGAACTTCAAGCTAAAATCATGGATGGAAAGGTGAATGTTTACCACTGAATACACTCAGGCTGATGTTGTCCAGATGTGGTAAACCTCCATCCATTGTGAGTGAGCACTAGGATTTGGATCCAGGCCCATCTGGACCAGGATTATCACATTTTTCTGTCTCTGCTCCTACACTTCCAAGTGTGTCAGTACAGAAAAGCTGTTTCTTTATCATCATGCTCAGAAAAGCCTCGTGGATTTTAGTTACTGTGATCAGAAAGCCATTTTCCATCAGGGCACTGGCTGAGTATCTCTGATTTCAAAGGATTTTCATTTAGTATTCCAACTTTTAAGAGAGATTTCCCCCCCAGATAACAAATACTGCTACATCATTCTCTGAGGAAAGTGAACTTTTTGTTTGGGGAAAAAAACCTACTCAGAATTTTGGGATAAAGAAAAATATTCACTGCCCTCTACAACTCTGCAGTGCAGTTGTAGAGGGAGAGCTAGGTAGGAGGAACAATTAAGTGCCAGAATGGATAATTTTGAATAAGTATCCATAAGCCAAACAAAAGATTGGGAAGCAAGGTTTGTAAGAACGACTGGAAGAAGATGCTGCTAACATATAAAAGGTGGGAAAAGAATTATCAAGAATTAAAGGAGGTAGGACTTCATGCTCTGGACCAGGGTTTCTCAGTCTTGGCAACTTTAAGATAGCTGGACTTTGTCCACCTGTCTTAAAGTTGCCAAGGTTAGATGTTTGAAAGGGAAGGAGAGGATGTAGGAACCTAAGAGGTAGAAAGATCAAAGAGACAAAGTGAAGCCCAGGTCACGGGTTGGTTTGAATGAGCCAGCTTAACTCTATGCTGCAGGTTTTCATGTCTGTAAATTTTCTTTTCAGACTACTAGAACTTTATCAAATGTGCTTGAAATCTGAAATATGCCTTTTTTCACTGTTAATATTATTAGGGGTGCTGTGTTGATCAGTTAAATAATTCAGACTTCCCACTGTTGCCCTTCAGAGTTTGGGGGCTTCGGCTCTCATAATCCCCAGCCAGCACAGTTAAAGGGAGTCGAAGCCTCACAATTCTGGAGGGCAACAGCTTGGTGAAATCTGGATTAGATTTGTCATTGAAAAGGCATTTTTGGTCAATAGCAGAGAATTCTCAACATAGGTATTTTCTTTTTAAAAGCTTTTGTTGAAGTGCAGGCAACAAGTGTTATCTGAGAAGGGGGATTCTATCCTCTATGTGGGAGGAAGATAAACCGCTCTTCTAAGATGTTGCTTTGAAGACACAATGGCACAGACATTTACCATCCAAGACGAAACAAACAGTGGTTGGTCATTTGCTGTGTAATGTATTCCTCATATTCAAATATAAGCAGTTTTCTCTGATTTTTAAGCCACCTAAGATTTATTTAACCTGGTAAGTGATAATTTCTGTTTTTCTAGGAAGGTCCTCCATGTCTGCCTCTTCTAGATTTCCAGCATTTACTCCGAGAATCTCAGAAAGAAGTGCTGCGGTTACAGAGACAGATTGCTCTGAAGAATTTTAAGGCAGCCCTGGAGCCCTGTGGCCAGGGATCAGAACACTTTTCTGTAGCTTTTGCAATGGACTTGGGGCTCATCACCTCAGACAGGACTATTTGCTCAAATGGTTTTTCTCCTACAAGAGTATCACAGCCATGGGAGGAACTGTGCATAGCAGTGGAGGAGACCAGCCAGGTAAATCCTTTGAAATCCTTCCAGTTTATAATCATGCATCTTGTTTACCTTTTAATTATCCACATGCTGGACAATCTAGAACAAAACCCACCATTCTTAGAATACCAGATTCCTAAGTCCATCTTTGCTATCTAACATTGGTTTGCTGTTTTACTATTCCATTGGTCCACTGCAGTTCTGAAATAGTGAAGACATTCAACTCGAAATGGGGCAAATTTGAGAAAAGAACTGCAGGAGAAATGACAATTAAATATGTCATTCTCTTATGTAATGCTCTGCATTTCCTGTTTTTTTTTTAAATCTACTGCTTATTTCATCCAGATTGAAAGCAAAGAAAAAGAACCAAGTGAAGCTTAAAAGCATTGCCATAAACATTATATCTATTTATAACACTTTGTCCCATTGCTAAAAAGACCTCCAGTGTGGCTTACATATCCTAAAAATATGACATACACATTCTGTATTTGGAGAACATGCCTAACCAGGAGTGGGCTTCAAAAATGTTAGCAAAGGGTTCTCTGCCCAGTTGTTGGGTGGGCGTGGCTGTGGTGGGCGTGGCCTAGTCAACTTCCTGCACCATGGCAGGAGGCGGTGTTTTTGCCCTCAAGCCTCCAGGAGGGTGAAAACGGCCTCCCTGGGCTCCGTAGGCTCTCTGGAAGCTGGAAATGGGATCCATTTCCAGCCTTCCTGAACTTCCGGGAGGCCAATTGTTCACCTTCCCAGAGCCTCTGTGTGTGCCCTGCACTTACCTGCATCCAAAATGGGCCCTGTGGGGACTCCTGGGAGGGGAGGGGTGGGGTGGGTGGGGCCGGCTAGGAGTGGGATTTGGGGGTTCTCTGAATTGCACAGTATCTTAGCTAGAGGCTCCCTCAAATCCCTGCGAACCCCCAGCAGCCCACCTCTGGCAATTATCCTATTCTTTGGGGTGCTCACAATCTAGTGAGCTGAGTTCACGCAATGCTTTGGACCATTAAAAAAAATACTCAGTTGTTTAGTTTGTTGTACAGATGTAGCTGCTAGGCTTTTATCTGATTTGGTTAAATATGCTGAGTGAACACAGACCAAGGAAGGGAAAGGGGAAAAGTCAAGCACATTCTTAACATGTTGTTAAAATGAAAACTGTTATCATGCCTATTTGGAATGAAAAGAGATCAGGCAACATGATGGAATGCCTGCCAGGTAGATAACCTTCTGGAGAGCCAAATGTTCTTTGCAGGGGTGAAGAGCCACCAGCATCAAGAGGGCTGTTGGAGTGTACACCTCTTTTGTACTTGTGTCAATATCACATGCATGCCCCATCAATCATTGCTGATTCTGATCTCTCCTCCCCACCCCCCACCCCCACCAGATGCTGCAATGAATAGCCCCACATCTCTCCTGTTCCTCTATTCCTTGTCCAGATGGAACAGCTTAAAAATGGGTCTTCAGAATGCTGCTGAAGGAGGAGGAAGAGGAGCCAGCAATGCAGCTTCGGGCCTGGGTGGAGCTGGGCTATTTGCCTAAAGAACAGAGCTGAGCTCTCCCCGAGTGTATTAGACATCCTTTGTTTGCTAATAAATTGTTGACTAATACGTCTTTTGCAGAGTTCCTGAGCAAATGATGTTACATCATATCTACATAAGCACTCTGTTCAGATAATGTGGGGTAGAGAACAAGGGGAAATAGGCTAAAAAGGCTGAAATGAGAAAAAAAACCCACAGAGAATTTCTTCTGATTTTGACTTTGTACCATCAACCAGAAGTGGTTTTTTTTTTAAAAAATAGACTTTATAGCAGTGCAAAGAGTGCTTGAATTTCTATGGGAAGCATACAGGGCAACCCCCAACATTGCGTGGGACTAAAGAAGAGCTTCAAGGGAAAGGGAAATGGCACAAGATGACAAATGAGATTTGTATCTTGATCAGACCTGATAGTGCTTGGAAGATCAAAGGCTAAGGCTAAGGCTAAGGGTGTACCGGGAAGTGGGGAAAATGTCCCAGAAGAAGTGGCAAATTATGCACTGCTGCCAAGGGAACCACACAGGTGCAAATATATCACCAAAGTTCAAAGAGAGTTTTCATTTTAGCATGTGGCCAGGATTGTTGCAAGATAAGCTTTTTTATTCCAGTAACTGGCTCAGCTCTTTGAGCTTGTGTCCCATGTGCTACTGCATTTCTCTCATCACTAGACCATATTATTGCCTCTTTCCCCTGCCCTATTGACCCATTAAATTATAGTGCCAATAGATATAATACTCTGATTGACAGCTGCACCAGATCAGGAATTCCCGACTTAATCTCACCCCAGCCATAAATACTTAGCCTGATGAGTCACTGTTCTCTTCTTTCTTCCTGTTCTCTATTCCTTACATGCAAAGAAACAAAAATACAAACATACTTTTATCACACTTGAACCTTCCTTGAAAATGTTGACTGTATGGAGAATGCGGGGAGATTTGAAACTGCACCCTGTTCGCATCTCTTCCGGATCCGACTTCAGATCCTGGAAGTTTAGATGGTCAAGTCTGGGAATTCCCACTGTGCACTCAAGGGGTCCTTCCTCGCGCCACAGCTTGGAGCTTTTCCCTGCCCCGTGCCGAGCTGCAGATATTCCTCCCTCTTCCGGACGGCAAAGTGGTTCAGCCCACCGGACAATCCACCGGGCTGGAGCTGTGCCAGCGTGGAGCTGTCCCTGGTGCTGAAGCGGAAGGCGCAGCGGGCAGATAGGAAAGCGCCGGCCAGACGGGTTTTGTGCAGGCCGCGTCGCCTTTGGGGTGGCAAAGGGTGGAGACAAGTTTGGCTGAAAAGTGGATCGGGAGTTGAATCAGCTTTCCTGACGTTGCATTGGTGAGAAACCTAAAGTTGTGTTGCCTGCTTTTGAGGAGAGGGGCTCCATATCAGAGTTCCATAAATTTAAAGAGGGGTAGGTTGTAATCCCCTGTCGGGTGCATTACAAAGTATTCCTGAATATGTATAATTCTTGTTCCTTAAGAGTGCAAATTATCTTAGGAAGCTGGAGGTTGGAGAGAGCATATTTCAGGAACATTATCTCCAAATAATGTAAAGATGCTAGCATAAAAATCTACACCTGAGAAGCTTGTTAGTAAGGGCTTTGGCTTCTTCTACCAGTTCCCTAACAGAGCCTGTTTGTTTGTTTTTTTAGTTTTTTTTCTAGAACAGAGAAGTGGCCAATATATTTCACCTTGTAGGCAGATTACCTTTCCCAGGGCAGTTCCTGAAACCTCCAGCTGAAACCATCCTGCATTTCTGGACAGTGAAAGGTGGATTTTGAAGAACCATTTCAATCCAAACTAGAAATACTGGCCCAGATCTTATTTCACACAAGGCAGTTTCCATTTGCTCATTCAGTGTTACAGTGGAAAGAGGCACCTCCTGATCAGAACACAAACCTTCCATTGATTCAGGAGCTTTCATAAGTTCCTTGTTTATTTTTTTTAAATATCAAATTTAGAGACCACCCAACTCACAGAGCTACTCAGAATGTGTCAATTCCAGGAAAATAGAAGTATTGCAACTCAGGATGAGACAGCTTCCTTGATGACAGAGTAGGATTTTAATCAACAGAAAATATAATATTAGGCAATTTTTCCTCCCACAGTTTTTCAGGTATTGCAAGATCAGTAAGGATTACAATCATAAACATTAATGTATACTTAGAGCAGAACAGCCCGACACCCAGCCATTTTAGACTATATTTCCTATAATCCCCAGTGAGCACTAGCTTTGATTTTTCCTGGCTGGAGATGATAGAAGATGAATCCCACTACTTAAAAGGTGCTAGAATAGGAAAAAGAGTCTTAAAATCTCTGAATCTTCTTGCTCATTAATCATGATTCACAGTTTGGAGCTAAGAAATGATATTCTGAGTTTACTATCAGAGTTTCCTGACATTAGTGGCTTGGGTCTTGATTGAAGTCAAGCCCTGGAGATACCTAAAATATAGTAGTGCTTTAGCTTTTATCTGGTTTTAATAAAAAGTAATGATTAATGTATAGAGAGGGAGCTTAGATTGTCAATTTATATTTTTATCAATTTTTGATTTTTCAAAATTGGAAATTATATATATATATATATATATATATATATATATATATATATATATTCATTCTTAATATGTATGTATGTATGTATGTATGTATGTATGTATGTATGGTATTCAGCTTTGTTCGGGTAATTTCCCACATCATTATAGTTGTGCTTTTAAAGTTGTAACAACGTTTCGGCCGAATCTCATCTCATCACATTTTTCAAAAGTGGCTTGCCATTGCATCCTTTCTAGGGCTGAGAGTAAGTGACTGGCCCAAGGTCACCCAGCTGTCTCTGTGCCTAATGTGGGAGTAGAACTCAAGGTCACCTGGTTTCTATATATCAGCCCAGAATGCTTCTTTGAGAGAGATGGACAATTCAGAAATATGATTGATAGATGTACAAACAAACAAATAAGAAATAGATACGTAGCCTTAAACCAGGTTATTTGAAGGACCATCTTTTCCCAGTCACATCTATCCAACTCACCAAAGCAGAGAGGCAGGGAATGTTGCTGGTCCCCTCTCCTAAGAGGGTACATCTGGTGGAACCCAGAAAAACAGCCTTCTCCATGGTAGTTTCTTCCCCTTGGAACATTATCTCCGTGGAGATTAGATTGCCCTCCCCACACACACTCTTTCACAAGACCCTGAAGACCTGGTTTTGGCAATGGACCTGTGAAACCCTGAGTGGAATGGATTCCTAAAGTGATGTATCTGATTGATTGTTATTGCTGGGGGGGGGGGTAGTGTTATTGTTGTATATTGAGTTTTGAGCAGCAACCCAGAATCATTGAGAATGAGTGGCCAACCATATAAATTTTCTTAAATAAATAATTAGAATAATGCTATATTCAAAGGCCTAGGATGATAATATATATTTTATATAATTTTTAATATACATTTTTGTATATAGGGAGAAGGAATGTCATTGGCTGGGGGAAGAGTTAAGAGGAATTAGTCTAGAGGCATTACATTCCCACAAGCGGTCTAAATTCAACCAGTTTTGAATACCATTAACTCTTATCTAGCACCCAATTAGTACTTAACCAGATTCTTGTATATAAACAAGAACAATACATCAGCTTAACTGGAACCCAACATGTGGTCCTGGTTCTTCACACTGGACAGACATGAAATTTGAACCTGGACCTACTGATTATTAACTCAGTCTCTTGTATGTAAAAACATAAGGAGTGATTTATTAGATGCCATTTACAAGCTGAATTCACTGATCTCAGCATACAAGCAGTTGTGATGGAAGGTGGACACCCAGGAGGGATGGGATATATTCCAAAGAAGTAAGATAACTAGGTCTGGATATTACGTATGAGAGTAAAAGGGTGAAGACAGCCCTTCCTTGATAATTTACAGAGTCTGTTATATATGCAGATAGTAGAGTCTACAGTCTGACAAGATTTTTGTCTATAGATGTGAAAACAATAAAGAACTCAGCTGGGAAGAATATCTACTTTGTGATTCTTGGATTTGGTCTCACAGCAGTGCTATGTTCTGATTATATGTTGTACCTAAACAAATCATATGATGGTTTAATGTGATATCCTGGCCCCCATGATTTGCACAGCTAAATAGCCTGGTTCTCTTGGTGTGCTGAATAACAAAGCCATCAAACTTTATTTTAGCCTGGTCTAGCTTATTGTGTGAATTCAACCACACCAAAGTCCAAATTCCTGCCTAACCTCAGAGGTGACATCCTAGACCCAGAGCAGTCCACAGCAGCAAACACATTTTCAGGACCGAAACTTGGTCTTAAGACTGGGTGTTCTAAACTGGCCAGTGTTGTAAACCATCCAGAGCCACTTAGGTAAGATGGGCAGAGTAAAAATTTAAGAAATGTAGTCAACTTGCTAACTCCTATCAGTAAATAAAGACTGTGAATCACAAAATGAACAGGGCCATTTGTTCTTCAATTTGGCTGAAATTTGTCTCTTTTGCAGTCAGAGACGGGACTGTTTCCTTTCGGAAGAGCGCAAAGAATAGAAGACACATTGATTTCTGCCCCTGAAGTTAAAGAGCACGTGAAGCATTTGGTAAGTTTTTTTTAAAAAATAATCTTTATCACAGCATATGGCAACATCTAGCACAGCTAAGGAGGGTGCCCTAGTCCTTGGATGGGACATTAACAGGAAATACTAGAACTACTCAACTAGACTGGAGTGCTGAGTTAAATTTGCAAAAGACAATGACAAAAATTATTTTATGATCTGTACAATATTTAGGGAGTCTTGATCTTTACCTTGTGGAACCATTATCCTCAAAAGTAACTATAGATAGTCCTCAACTTACAATGGGTTTAGTGACCATTTGAAGTTACAATGGCACTGAAAAAAGTAACTAAGGACTATTGCAGTATTCCCCACAATCACCTGATCAAAATTTGGATGCTCATATTTATGACAGTTGCAGTGTCCCGGGAGCATGTGATCTCCTTTTGTGACCTTCTGACAAGCAAAGTCAATGGGAAAGCCAGATTCACTTGACAGCCATGTTAGTAACTTAACAACTGCAGTGATTCACTTAACAAATGTGGCAGGAAAGGTCATAAAATGGGACAAAATTCACTTCACAAATTTCTCACTTAGCAACAGAAATTTTGGGCTTAATTGTGGTCATACGTCAAGGATTACCCATATGCTTTTGCAACATAGTTCTGGAAAAGAAGACCTGAGAGTGCCAAGCTGCTAAATCTAGAGCCCTTGGGGCTTCAGCATCCTTAAAAATTATGCCATCTCGTTTGAAATAGGTAAGCGCTGTTTGGTCATTTGCCTTTCGGTTTGATTGTCTGCTTCCCTCTTCTGGTAGGACTCTGAGCTCACCAAGAAGAGGAAGCAATGTGAACATCTGGAGCATGAAGTAAAGAAGAAGCACAAGAGATGTGTAGAGCTTGTAAGTGAGTCCCCACCCCCCGTTGTTGACTTGACTCCTAGAGCTACTTTCAATAGACAGAAGATGGATGCCTACAAACTCCCTAGGAACGGAAGGTTCAATAGCAATAACTGGCTAATAATAGCAAATCACTGATGCAGTAATACAGCAAGAACAAGGGATTACAAAAAACAGCAATAGTTGATACAAAGGCTAGCAATCTCCCCGCCGCCCCACCAAAAGTTACACATCAAGAACTGTGTCTGCTGGGTGTGGAGGGGAAATCCAAAAGCTCAAGATAGTAACTATGATTCTGTGATTGATGTCCTGCCTCTTTTTTTTACATGTGTTGTGATAGTTTTGTATATAAAAAATTGGGTTTTTATTTCATAGCCAGACCCATCATTTTGCCCCTTTTTAAAAAAAATCATACTTATACGCCATGGATGTGCCATTAAAAAAAAAAACTAGCATTGGTAATGTTTGAGTTTTCTGTTAAAAAAAAAATTAGTTTTTTTTAATCTATACACATGTTAAACATGTCATTGGATCCTTCAGAGAGAAAGCTTTCTATTACTTACAGTCTCTTCTGCGGGTTTTAAAGTTCCTAAACCAACATTAAGGTGAAATTTTAGAGTGGAATGAAATATCGTCATTGCTGTTTGAATTGACATGGCAGTGAGCTTTCTCAGAACTGCTGAGTTTTATGCCTAAATGCCTAAATCCAAGATTGCAGAAAAAACAGCCTGGGGAATCACATAGTGCCTATCAGGACTCTTATGTCATGCCCAGAGTGCTCGGAGTCAGTGGAACTAAGTATTTTTTCCCTTTCAGTATTTCTGGAATTCGAGGAAGATTTTATAGAACACAGTTGGTATTTTAAGCTTTGTCATAGCGGGGAGGGATTATTTTATTCCCAGAAAATCCATGCTTGATTTTTTTTTCTCACACAGGAGATCGAACTTCAGGAAGTGCGGAGTGATAATGCCCGACTCTCTGAGGAGAACGCCGTGTTACAGGGGCAAGTCGAGTGGACAGAGAAGGTAATCATGAGACCTTCTCTTATATCCACCCCCCAACATCTAAAGTAGTGTAAGCTGATGACTGTAGATCATGGCTTTAGTGTCCTCAAGGAGGTTTTCCTGGGGGGGTAAATATTATTTCATTGTAAACCAAGTTCATTCATCTTTCATGTGTTGGCTACGGAAGTTGGAATATCAATACACAAATACATACATTTCTATAGAAAGACCCAACATCAGTTATGATCATGCTTACAGTTCCATCAAATGTATGGAACAAATTAATCAGACCCTAAAGCAGAAGGGATTGTAATGCTTTTGTCAGAGAGAGAGAGCTCCTCCTCCTCCTCCTCCTCCTCCTCCTCCTCCTCCTCCTCCTCCTCCTCCTCCTCCTCCTCCTTCTCCTCCTCCTCCTCCTCCTCCTGTTAATCAACTGCTTCTCCTATTGCAGGTTGAATCTGAAAATGCTGACTTAAGGCTGCAGGTTTCTGTAGTGACTGAGGAACGGGATTCAGCTCTTCAGAAAACCCAGGAACTCCAGGACAGGCTGGAGAGTCTCGGGCAGGCACTTAAGGTTTGTAGGAAAAGGCTCTCCCAGAGCAGCTCTCTTTCACTGATATCCTTCATTTTGGAAAGTTGACTAGCAGAAATGGCAGGTTTGGAATCAAGTTGTAATAGATTCCAGGTTTTCTGATTAAAAGTTGATTTTGAGGATGTGGATAAATGCAAATGTCACTTCTTTATTTGTGTTGTTCATACTCCTATGATGAATCAAGAGCTTGAAATCGGGAACTGGCATCAACCTGAGGCATTTTATAAAATAATTAAAAACAGTCTTAGGAATGCTTGACAGATTTGTCCATTTTATGCCCAGGCTCAGCAAAGCCCTCAGGGCTATTTTCTGTTAAATGCTAATGAAATTCAATAATTGAGACAGTGAGTTACAAGTCAGAAATAATTCTCCAGTTAAGGCAAAGGTAAAGATGCTCAATTTATGCTTAGCTCCCGGAGACTATAATATGCAATCATATTGTTCCTTGACAACAGGTCTAAGAAAGGGAAAAAACACAAACTAGTGCAGGACTATATGCATTTCCAAAAACTTTGGGATAACTACCAGTATGACAAGGAGAAAATTATGCTATCATTTACATTTAAATACCCATTTAATCAAATTAAATGAAGACTTTGATCCTCTTCTGCCATTTCTTCCAAAACATCTTTTAAACATAGTCTATCCATAGACTATCCACAGGGTGAAAAAAAGGGTCGATAGGAAAATCATTTGGCTTTCTTATGTTTAGAATCTGTTTACTTGTTAAAATGTATCACCTGCCTCAATGGATTCTTCCGGATCTTCTTTTCCAGCACATGAGAGATGTTGCAGAACGAAGGCAGCAACTGGAACATCAGCATGAGAAGGCCTTGCAGGCCTTGCAGAAGAAAAAAGATGAAGTCCGACAGCTGCAGCAGGTGAGTTCTGTCAAAAGGAGTCTTCTTTCTTCCAGGTTTATTCACATAAGCTTGATTCTTCCATCAGCCAAAGGCTCACATACTGTATGAATGTGTAAACCAGGGGTCTTCAAATTTGACAGCTTTAAAACTTGTGGACTTCAATTCCCAGAATTCCTCTTCCAGTCATGTTAGCTCAGGAATTCTGGGAGTTGAAATCCACAAATCTTAAATTGCCAAGTTTGAAGACCCTTGGTGTAAACAGCCCCCCATCGGCAGGAATTGACTTGCTTTGGAGGTGAAGGGAAAATTCTAATTGTGGGGTTTGTTCTCTGATGGGTCATTCAGCCCATAGCAATGCCTGGTGCTGCACTGATGTGAGCAATTGCAATATGCTGAAGGCTGGGGAAATACCTCCCCACCATTGGGCAAGGAGAAATTGCTCATGCTTTCTTCAATCAATAATTTGATTCTACCCTATTGATACTTAACACATTTTATTTATCATTCATTCACTTATTGAGTCTGACCCCATCTCAATCAGCAGGATTGTCAACATTCTGCAAATTGAGTTGAAATTTAATAGTGGTTTAATGAAAAGAAGGACTAGGGGTGACATGATTGTAGTTTTGCAAGATTTGAGGGGCTGCCACAAAGAAGAGGGAATCAATCTATTCTCCAAAGCCCTCCAGGAAGGACAAGAAGCAATGGATGGAACCTAATCAAGAAGAGAGGCAACCTAGAACTAAGGAGAGATTTCCTGACAGTTAGAACAATTAATCAGTGGGATGACTTGCCTCCAGAAGTTGTAGGTGCTCCAATACTGGAGGTTGTTAAGAAGAGATTGGACAACCATTTGTTTGAAATATTACAGGGTTTCCTGCCTATTGGCACTAGAAGACCTCCAAGGTCCCTTCCAACTCTTTGTCTCTATTAAACAGTCTGCAAATGACATACAATTGTATAATAAAATTATGTAGTAAGAAAGTAAAATTCTAATAAGTGCATCAATGGATACAAAACATTCTTCCATTCACTGGCATCACTCAATTGTTGTAAGCCTTTTGAAATATCTGTCTTTAATAGAATTCAGATGGGCCATAATGTGGAGGCCAACTCAGTATCAGCTGGGGGGCTGTTCCATGATTGGGGTGCAACGGTGGCGAGTACCCCCACTTCCTTTCACCTTGTAGCATCTGTCAACCCAAATAGTGTCTCCCTGGACTAAATTCCACAAATTTAGAATACCGAGATATTGTTGGTCATGCAAAACATTTTTTAAAAGTATAGACCAAATTTACCCATTCCAATATAGCTTGATTATGGTTTACATTATTATGCGTATTCACCTGTTATAAGCTATGGCTTAACATAAACTTAATCAGTACACCAAATGCTAACACATAATGGCTAGGCAGAATTTGTAAATTCAATCAAGTCTACAAGCAAATCACCCACTTCTATGTCAATGAAGATACATATTCCTGGGACAGCCAGATTCCTTAACCTTTCTTTTCTCTTGGATTTAGGCTCAGGCTGAAGCTAGGAAAAAACATGAAGGAGCAGTGCAGCTTTTAGAGGTAAGAAGAGGAGAAAATGAAAGAAAGGGAGGTAAAAACCAAGAAAAAAAACCCATTTAAATTACCATCAATTTAGTTTATTTAAACTACACAAGAAATTTTCACATCAAACACTGCCAGTTCTATGTGTAGCATGTGCTTGTCTTTAGAGAAGGAGACCTGATTAAATGTGTCACCGTGGAAAATACTAAGAGACTTCCCACTGCAGTTCATTGGTTAGAAGGCAATGTCTCATTGAAGGTAATGGGCTGTGAGAATAACCTTGGAAGACAGGAGAAAGAGGGTTTGAGATATCTTTTATCTGAGTGTTGCCCTGGCTACAGCTCTTTCTCCTGTCTCCCAAGGTTAATCTCACAATCCATTATACTTCCAGATATGGGTTTTCAATTGATTTATCCAGTCCTACAATCAATCACCGGATTTGTACTTAAGGAAGATGGTGATGTGCAATTAACAACTTTTTTTCTTCTTCTGCTGTTCCTTGCCTTGTCAGAATTCCTTGGATTCTATGCAGGTACTAATGGTTCCAGATGTGCAAAAATGTCCTGTTTTTCCCTCTTTCCTCCAACAAATCTTGATTGTTTCAGCGGCTTTTGGAACAGAGAAATACTACGTTTTATATGTATTATGGAAAGTAGGCAATGAAAGAATGGGAGAAAAATTGAAATGTATTTGAGAAGCCATAATAATGTATATTTCTCGTTTCCAAACTTGCACATAATTTGTGTTGCATCTGTATTAGCCCAGCAGAACAAGAGCAAGGTTTCAATTGCACAAGGCTGTTCTTTCTGGTGACTGTCAGGGGAAGGGAAGAACTGTCCAAGCACTAATGAGGGTATGGGAGAATATGTAAATGTGACACTCTTAATGTGCCCTTCACTACAGATAGTCCTTGACTTAAAACTGCAATTGAGATCAGAATTTCCATTGCTAAGCAAGGCAATTGTTTAATGAGTTGCGCCCAATTTTATGATCATTTCTGCCAGTTATTAGAAGTACATCACTGCAGTTCTTAAATGAATCATGTGGTTATTAAGCAAATCCCACTTCCCGCCACTCACTTTGCTCGTTAGTGGATTTCTTGACCCTGGGACCCTACAATCATCATAAATACATGCTGATGGCAAGTGCCCAGATATGAGGAATTGAACTCAAGTCACCCATTCCCATTCAATACACTAATCAAACCTGACTATAAATTGCTGATTCTCCATACCTTACTCTTCTTTGTTACAATCATTTTTGTGTCCTGAGTGTTAAGCTTCACTGGTGGGATTTCTCCAGTCTGGAGGGACTCTTGCTGAAAAGTTAGCTAACAAGAAAAAAAACTGTTGTTCCTTTGAAGTCAGAAAATGGTTTTGTCTCCTGTTTCGCTTGTCTCGATGGTACACACACACACACACACACACACACACACACACACACAAATCCTTAAATTGAGTTCATGTACATTTCTTATACTATATCCGTTAACTAGCCATAAATATTTGGCTGGAAGAAGATTCCTTGCCCTTGTTCTTTGTGGCATACAGAAGAGGAGATGGTGTGCATGTATTGTTCTGTAGAATAACTAGTAATGTAGATGTGGTTAACATAGAAGCGTTGGGGGGGGCAAATGTATGATGGTGTGTGTCTTCTATTCATTGTCATTAATAACATGTTCAGTCTGCAATTAGGCTCTTATGTTTGGTAACCATAAAAGCAATAACCCACCCAATCTCTTTTTACTGATGTTCTTTCGTTCTTTCAGAGGCTTTTGCAGAAAGGAAAGAAAAACTAGGTTTTTTTTCCCCCCTCATTCTGGTCTCTTTCCTGTCACAATTCTTCCCCCTCTGTCAGGGTTCTAACGTTTCACACTGTTTCCTCTTGTGATGAGCCGCGATGGCTGATCTTTGCACATGAAGGTTTATCCCACAGTTCAGCACAGGGCTGCCTTTTAAAACTGATCCCTTTATCCTCTCAAAAAATTACTGGAAGCTTTCCTCTACCAAAGACAATGATGAAAACTTTTACAAAAACAATTACAAGCTATGTAATAAAAATACAATATGTAGCATGCAGAGTAAGAAAGCAACACCTTCTTGCTTATGAAGAGAATGCCTTGTCCCAAAACGACAAGGTATTCACTATCAGAGAAGATGCCAACCAGATTTCCTGAAGATGCAAATTCCAGAATTTAGATCTGGTCCCAGAGAAAGCCGTTTGACATGTCCCACCCTTTCCACCTTTGCCACAGCTGGGAAATGGAGAAGTTCTCTCCATTGATCTTAACAAGCAGGCAAACTCATATAGAAGGGAATAGTTGCTGAGATACCACCAACGCTTTAAACTGTGTCCAAAAACAAACAAAAAACTAATGCCCACATTTGCAGGAGCTGCAATATAATTTTGCTATGCTATGCCAAGCAGATGCATCATGAAATTAAACCTTTCAAAGATCTAGGATCTACTGCTGGGAAATGTAATGTAATCCACCCAAAATGCAGTACCCAGAAACAAATCAGTCAGTCAGTCAGTCAGTCATTCAATCAATCAATCAATTCAACAAATCAGTCAGTCAGTCAATCAATCAATCAATCAATCAATCAATGTCCTTAGGTGAACTTTAAGCCAATTCTTCCATCTTGGCAGTTTCCAGTCATGCGATTGCAACTTCCATAGTTATCCAGCCAGAACTGAGTAATGCTGAGAATTCTGCTTGAAGTCCACTTGAGATATGGTGTGTGTGTGTGTGTGTATGTCAGTGAATACTAACCTGCAAGATGGACCATCTTCCTCTGCTCCCTTAAAACCTCTTTCTGTTGCTAAAATCTGCCTCCTGCTGTAGCTAATGTTTTTTTTTTTGCAATGCAGGCCCGTGTGAGAGAGTTGGAAAACCAATGTCGCAGCCACACAGAACAGTTTAACTTCCTCTCTCAGGAACTCAGTCGATTTCACCTCCAAACTGGGAAATTAGGTCTTCCATCCACCTCCTCCTTCTGTTCTTCCCTGGTGACTTCAGAGATTGTCTTTGCTACTTGCCAGAGTTCTCCACAGCTCCCCAATGGCTTCAAGCAGAAAGGTGACAGTATACAAGAGATTTGTACTTTGACGTTCTTGTCAACAAAAGAATAATTCAGAAAGGGAAGCACCAAGTCATCTAAAATTTTTCAACATACCTCTCAAACTACATACAGGTAGCCCTCGACTTACAACAGTTCATTTAGTGACCATTTGAAGCAGTGGTGGGATTAAAATACTTTGCCACTGGTTTGGTGGGCATGGCTTGGTGGCAACGCTTTGCGCGTATGCACACACTTTGCGCAGGTGCAGAGGCATTCTAACTTGCCTCCTGCAAGCCTGCGCGATCCCGGTTGCTTCAGCAGCTGCCAAGCAACACTCTTCTGTGCCGCACAAAGCAGCTGCGCTTCGAATTCAGAGGATAAAGGTGAGTATGGGAGCCGGGGCAAGTGGGTGGGCCCAACAGCAGAGCAGCGGAGAGACCCTGTTTGGTCTTCATCGCTGCTTGGCAGAATCGGGCCGAACCGGCAGAATACCACCACTGATTTGAAGTTACAACAACTTCAAACACCAGTGAAAAGGTGGCTTCTGACCATTTTTCACACTAATTGTGATGACCCGTACTCTCTCAAAATAACCCAAAACCGAAAACATACATTAAAGTCCGGTAAGGCCTTCAACTTAACTTCATTGTTTTATTTGGCACAGTTTAAAGTCACAAAAGTAACTAATGAGGCAAACAGAAAACCAAAACAAACCGCATTGATGAGAGTTCCGAAGCAAGCCAAGATAACTAATCATAAACTCTAGGAAAATAATTGAGGAGAGTCCATGCCAGCACAGATAAACCTCTTTTAAGGTGAAACACTAAAATTGACTCCTGCAAATTCTAACTGCGCAGTTACAAACTTATATACATAGCTTCCACCTGCAAGCCACGAGGAGGATCATGGTAATCTCCTCTTGAGTAGACCTCGCTTTTCCCTGATTCTCTCCTCCCTGCATGACCTAGGATGGACAGGGAATGGGCCTGGATCCTCTTCTGACTGCTCAGCTGGCCTCTGCCCTTCCCCAGCCTCCTCCACCACCTCTGGAGCCAGACTCCCACTCCCTGTTGGCTGTTCCTCCTCTTCCTCAGAGTCCTTCTCCACCATGGGCATGGCACTAATGGCTGTTGCAGCATCCCCCTGGTCACATGATCAAAATTTGGATGCTTGGCAACTGGTTCCTATTTATGATGGTTGCAGTGTCCCGGGGTCACCCTTTGCGACTTTCTGGCAAGCAAAGTCCATGGGGAAGCCAGATTCACTTTACACAACCGAGTTAGTAACTTAACAATGGCAGTGATTCACTTCACAACTGTGGCAAGAAAGGTTGTAAAATGGGATAAAATTCACTTAATAAATATCTCACTTAGCAACATACATTTTAGGCTCAATTGTGGCCATAAGTCGAGGACTACCTGTATTCTATAGGGTGCCTGATGTAGCGCTTGTTTTTCTCACCCTGGTGTCTTCTAAATGTGTTGGATTGCGATTCTCAGAATTTCTTATCAATAACGCATTGCTGGGTTGGAATCCTGGGAGTTATAGTCAGGGTGCCATACTAGGGAAGGACGTTTTAATTATTTTAGGATGATCTCAGTCATAACCTGAAGTAGAAGCTGTAGCCCACACTGAACCACAGTGTTGTAGACAAAAGATCCTCCATTCAATCTACAACTTCTCTAAATAGACTCAAGAAAAGATTTTGCCTAAAAACTGAAGTACTACTGCTGGTCAGTTTAGATCAGGGGTGTCAAACTGGTTTTCTTCAAGGGCCGGATCAGCATTGTAGTTCTCCTTCGTGAAGCCAGCAGGGGGTGGGGAGGGGGGGAGATGAGATGGACACCGCCTGCAGCACCCCTGCCTGCCAAAATGTGGTGCAGAGGGCAGCATGAAGCGCCCCCCCCCCAGGCCCATTTCCAGCCTCCATGGCCTCCTGCAGCACTCTGACAGCCTTTGGTTTTTCCAGGCCAGCCCCGCAGGCCAGAACTAAGCACCTCGCTGGCCAGATCCAGCCCTTGGGCCTTGAGTTTGACACCCCTGGTTCAGATGGTACAGAACTAGAATGACCAGTAATTCAATTACAGCCACCAGTTTTGCCCTCGCCAAGCCATCGGCATATTTTCAGTGCTCTGCAGTGCTCCATGACTGTCCTAAATCACTCAGTGTTCCCTTCCAAGCAGCCAGAGGGAGAATAATAAAAACTGGCAGACTTGCTACCCCAACCCCCTCTCTCTTCTTCCTTCAGCACGTTTGCTTTTCTGTGGCAAGGAACAAAATAGGGGAAAGCTCCTGCAAGCTACTGTTGAGAATGCAGCAAAAGTATCCCTCAGAGCAGCCAGAAAGCAATTAACAAATTAAAAAAAAGAAACAAAACAGGGATGAGCCATGATGCAAACTGAAAAAAATCCAGAAGACTAGGAGTTCCTCCAGAAACACTGCCAGTAGCTGTGAAATTGTTGATCGATTAAATTTATTTCCTACCCATCTCGTATCCAGCAGCTTGAATGAAACTCAACCAAGTTCTCTTTACTTCCTCTGCATCAGAGCAGCAGCTGAAGCAATTAATTTCAGAATGAAAGGCTCTGGATGGAAGGGCCCATAGCATAATGGGGCTGTGCAAGGCTGGTGATGTCGATCATTGATGTTGATTTGGCAAAAAAAAAAAAAAATGAGTAAAGAAAAATTCACAATAACAAATAGTTTTCTTCTGTGTGAGGACTACAGAAACACAAGAGGCTGCCACCTCTAAAGCGGACTGTTTCCCTACGAACCAAGCTTGGTTAAGATTGTTTTTCCCAACCTGATGGAGACTGAGTGGGAAAGGGGACAGCCCAGGTCATTGGCGGAGTGCCTAAGGCTGTTTCGTCTTGGCAGTGAGTGTGATCAGTTCTCTCTCCAGAATTGGAACACCTCCACCCAGTGGAAGCTGCTTGGAAGGAAAAACACCAAGAACCGTGACTCATTCGGACATGGAAGGGGAGACCTTTGCTAAAGGCATTTCATATGGACTCAAGAGGAGCTTTAAATAGCTTTATTTGTTTCTTGTTCCACACTGAACGTTTTCTCTGTGTTTACCCCATGCTGGTAATTTCTCAAGCACTGCAGTATTTTAAAGGTCATGGCATTGATTTTTCTTATTTTCTTAACCAAATTTTTTAGTAGCCATGAAGTCCTTGGATTGTTTATTAAGGACGGTCTGGGTAAATTGGAGAATCTACAGTTTTTCAAAACATTCAGCCTCTGTGTCTATACAGTAGATTTAAATTCATGCAGTAGATTTAAGATTTTTTTTCAGATAGAAACTTCTGAAGAGGAATAAAATTCCTTCTTTCTTTTGGGATGTGTGTATGTGTGTATGGGGGGTGGGTGGGAAGAAAGGTGGTTCAAATTTTATTCAGGTAGTCCTTAACTTATGATCACAATTGAGCCCAAAATTTCCACTGCCATTTTTATGACTTTCCTGCCATTTTTATGACCTTTCCTGCAATTGTTAAGAGAATAACTGTAGTTGTTAAGTTGGTAACACTTCCCCATTTACTTTGTTTGTCACAAAGTCACAAAAACTGATCACATAACCCTAGGTCTAGGACATTGCAACCATCATAAATACATGCCAGTTGCCAAGTGTCCAAATGTTGATCCCGTGGCTATGATCATGGTGCAAGAGCCATGTGAGAAGTAGTCAGAAATCACTTTTTTCAGTGCCGTTGTAACTTTGAGAGGTCATTAAACAAATGGTTGTAAGACAAGGACTACCTGTATTTCAAAAAGGGAAAATTGGTGTTGTATACCAGCTTTGTGGTTCTTTTATGTAATTAAACCTGAATGTTCTGCGAACTTTATGGCTCTGCTTGTCCTCCATGCCTAGCGTGATGTACAATGTTTGGTTTCAGATCCAGAAATTGTCCCTGTATCCCCACGGAGCAGTATAAAAGTTCAAGATGAAGAGGTGGAAAGGTTCTCCCCAGTGGCACTCCGGCTCACGGATCCTGTGGTGTCTCCTGTGTCCCGAAGTCCAGATACAAGCAGTCCCCCAGGTGCCTCAAAAAAAGCAATCAAGAAATTGGAAGCTCAGTCCAGCTCTTCCAGATCTGAGTCCATGCACAACAACAGCCCCAAATCCTGCCCCACTCCTGAGGTCAGTCATGGATGTGTGAGGAGATGGCCAGCTTTTGATTTGTGAACAGATGGTTCATAAAAAGATGGTTGGGCCATCTCTCTCAACGCTTTCACAATACAAAATGCACGTGAAGTTGATGTGCTGTTTTGACCATTTGCAGACCTATATCCTGTATCCCGACATGTAAGCTCAGATAAGTGAATAAGAGTTACCCTAGCCCTAGCTAATTAACCACAAGCTCTAACCTTCTGTTTCCTTCTGTGCAGGTTAGAGAGAGAAATCTTCATTCTCTTCTGAAGGGGATGAATTGACATAACAAAACTCAAACATTGTGATGTATTTTCCCCATTGTCAGTGGCTTGTCCTTTTGCACTTTCCCCCCCTCTCAGATAACAGATAATCAGAGTTGGAAGGGACCTTGTAGGTCATCTAGTCCAACCCACTGCCCAAGCGGGAGACCCTACACCATTTCTGACAAGTGGCAGTCCAATCTCTTCTTGAAAGTCTCAAGTGATGGCGTTCCCACCTCTTCCAAGGGCAAGCTGTTCCATGGGTTGATTGTTCTCACTGTCAGAAAGGTTCTCCTTATTTCCAGATTGAATCTCTCCTTGTTCGGTTTCCATCCATTATTCCTTGTTTGGCCTACAGGTGCTTTAGAAAATAGCTTGACCCCTTCCTCCCTGTAGCAGCCCCTCAAATAGCTTGACCCCTTCCTCCCTGTAGCAGCCCCTCAAATATTGGAAGACCGCTATCATGTCTTCCCTGGTCTTTCTCTTCACTAGCCTAGCCAAGCCTGTAACCGTTGTTCATATGTTTTAGTCTCCAGTCCCCTAATCATCCTGGTTGCTCTTCTCTGCACTTTTTCTAGAGTCTCAACATCTTTTTTACAGCATGGTGACCAAAACTGGATGCAGTACTCTAGGTGTGGTCTTACTAAGGCTTTATAGAGTGGTATTAGTACTTCTCTTGATCTTGATATGTAGTACTCAACTTATGAATGTCATGGAGCCTAGTATTTGGTATGTGGTAAATCATGATGATTGTAAGTTGAGGCACCCATGTGACTGTCCTGATTTTATGATCTTTTTTAAGGTGGTTGTCAATGCCATGGTCATTAAGCAAGTCAATGCATTACTGTGGGCATTTTTTTGCTGGAAACATAAATCAGGCTGCGTGACCCCAGAATGCGTTATAAAGGTAAACCAGTTGCCAAGGGCCTGAAGTGCGATTATGTGACCACAGGGGGCACACAGCCATTAGAACTCCAGAACCGAGTCATCAGTGGGGGAGGTATCATAATGTCAAATAGTCACTAAGTGAGCACTTGTTAAGCAAGGAATCCTTGTAAAGTCCTCCTCTTTTGCAAGACATGCAAAGCTCCAGTGCCTATTTGTTCCTCTCCCTGCTCTTCCTCCATGGCTCATCTATTTTAGGGAGAATATCTGCTAGGAAATGGAAATTCCCCATCCATGGAAACAGCAGAGTTGGAAGCCCTGATCACAATGATCACCGGGGGCTCAACTTGCACCAAAATCAGGAGTGTTCTTTCAGCCAGTAACATTATTAACCAAGTGCTAGAAAGGGAAAATAATGAAGAGTGTAGTGACTAAACAAACAACGTCCAACTGGAATATTCTGAGAGTTATATTAGACTGGAGAAAATATGGCATGAGATGGATCAATTAATTTATTACACTGTATCTATTTACTGTTTATTTAAGGTAGACATCTATGGTCGCCAACATAATAAATAGTATCTTCAGCAATAATGACAGAGATTGTTGTGAGCCACTTAGAATTGATTTGGAGTTGGGCAGCACCTACATCGAATAAAATTAAAAGAAATTTTTAAAAAAGTATAATTAAAAAGCAACTTTAAAAATGTACAGCCTAATTAAAACACAATTATGGTTTTTTTTAAAAAAAAACATCACGCAACGCAGCAGCCAATCTCCAGAAAAGAGCAAGTTTGAATAAGAAAGATTTTGCTTCCTGGTGGAAAAATATCAGAAGTGAAATTGGCCTGATTTAGGAAAAGGGATAGGGGTGTTTCTGGAAATGAGGCCGAACAGAAGGTTGCGTCCATTTAGGCCAATGGCCAGATGTTAACCTGTTTTGGTTACCGTAAAGGGGTCAAGAGAGATGCAATTATGTCAAGTCTCAGCTGCCCTTTTAGTTCCAGAATGGAACTAGAGCTTCAGCAGCACCATAAAGAAAAGGCCCCAGAATATCCCCACTTTCCTCTAGAACCCATTAGGGTCCACCAGTGGATCGCTTAAATGTGCCAGCCTCCCTGCAAGGGTGGGGTGGGGGTGGCGTAAGCAACCTCAAAGGCCCTTACTTACTTATTTATCATATTTAAGAACTGCCCATCTCCCTCACAAAGGGACTCTGAGCAGTGCACAAATAAAATATAAAAACTATTAAAGGCATAAAAACAGTACATAAAATTTGATAACTAATCAATTTCAATTTAAAAGAGTCAAGGAATATTAAATCAAGAGGTGTGGTGGCGCAGTGGTTAGAATGCAGTATTGCAGACTAAATCTGCTGACTGCCAACAGTTTGATTCTCACCGGCTCAAGTCCATCCTTCCGAGGTCGGTAAAATGAGGACCCGGATTATTGGGGGCAATGGGCTGACTCTGTAAACTGCTTAGAGAGGGCTGTCAAGCAGTGGCCGCCAACTTTTTGGGACCCAGGGTTCCGTGGAGAAAGTTTTTTCTGTGAACTGGAGGGAGCATAGCTTTGCATGCTGCCTGCATCCCGTGGGTGGGACTCTGCTTGTTTGCATGGTCTATTTGCAGGCATGCTGTGAACCAGTGCCTGTCCATGGACCAGGGGTTGGGGACCCCTGCTGTAAAGCACTATGAAGCAGCATATAAGTCTTCAGTTTTTGTAATGCTATTGCTATTAAAATGCGGGTTGAGGGCATTTAAGCCACTAGCCAGCCCCATGGTTACGTGCTCCTTTGTGCATCCTAAGTAAAGCTGCAAAGCTGTGTTTTCACGCTTTCCCAGAAGGCCAGGAGAGTGGGGGGCCACCTCACTTTTGTGGGTGGGAGAGTGTTCCACAGGGCAGAAGGCTCTTTTCCTGGACCCTGCCAGTCAGAATTCTTTAAACGATGCGGTCTGTAACATACCTTCCCTTCCTGATTGGTTGGGACAGGCTGATATAAAGGGATAAAGATAGTTTGGTAGGTAACCAGGCCTCTTGCCATGTAGGACTTTAAAGGTCATAACCAATAACTTGAAGTGGACTGAATTGGGATGTGCTAAATTTGGTTCCTGAATTAGATTATATTCCAGGTTTGCATAATACACTGAGCTGTAAAATAACCAAGTGGGTTGAGTTTTTACAACATGCTGAATCATTAAAATGAACAGGTCAAGGTTAAAATGAAGTTTGCCATTAAGCCTTTATTTGCCTTAATTAAGCATCTTCTGCAAATACAGCCGTTTCATCATTTTCTGCATGTCTTTAGATGGATACAGCCAGTGAAATGGAAGAATTGGACATTGACAGCATCTCATTAGTACCTGAGCAGGAGAACCATGATCCAGTAAAACTTCAGGTCTTCTTGGCTCGATATAGGTAAGGTTGTACAAAGAAACCAGTGGTGACATTAGATATTAAGAATGCAAATGATTTGTAGCAAATATTAGATTTTATATGATGCAATGGGAAAATTCTTGCATCTAGAGACTGATGGAGTTGCGTTTGGTAAGGAAAGGCAATGAACAATTGCAAGTTATACATGGAAAGAGAAATATACGACTAAGTGGATGAATTTGTGTTTCTTGATAGAATGTCTTCAAAAATGGATGGAGAAAATGTGTTAATTAAGAACTGTGCGTGATAAAACATGCACAGGGTCCAAATAGCTGTTGAATCAGTATGGGCTGAATATAAAAATGATCTAATCATTTAATATGGAATGATGTTATATAGAGAGGTGGCTTAGTCATGTCAAGAGAATGAAGAGTGAATTGCAAAATAAATATATGAAGAAAATGAAGAATGGGAAGTGGATGATGTCATAGTTAATGGAATTGATGATATCCTCAAAAACAGAAAGATGACAGATTTACAGGGGAAAAAAGTGATATATGGAACTGATGGAGATGATGATGATGATTATTATTATTATTTGAGTATAGTAGCAACTACTGGGAATATCAGGTTGAGAAGCTTCTGGAGAATGAAAAAGTCAAGATCTTGTGGGACTTCAGAATTCAGATGGACAGACACTTGGCCCACAACACACCTGACATGACAATAGTTGAAAAGAAAAAGGGTTGGTTCATTGACACTGCAATACCTAGTGATGCACAAATTGTAGATATGTAGCAAAAAAAAAATCACAAAGTATCGGGACTTACAAATTGACTTTGGAAAAAGAAATCGTGTGTTATCCCAATTGTAATTGGAGGCCTTGGAGAAATACTTAAAGGGCTACCTCACTATTTGGAAATTCTGAATTTATCAGACTTCAATACCTACAAAATAATTCTACAAAAAAACACACTACTTGGAACAGCTTATATCCTCCGACGCTATCTTAATTGTTCCTAGGTCCTTGGTTAGGACTCGAGCTGTTGAGCTACCAACCAGGCTGTGAATCTCACAAAAGATTAAATCATCATCATCATCATCATTTAATGACCCCATAATCCCTTGCGGGGTGGAGTCTGGGCAACTGAATGGAGCTGAGTGTTTACTGGCCAGATGCCCTTCCTGTTGCCAATGTGGAGTTATATTCAGCAGATATATTCTCATTGTGCCCAGAGAAAAATATCTGCCTCTACCTAGGATCAAACTCACAGCCTCCTGATTGTGAGGTGAGAGCTCCACCTCTAGGCCACTGCACCACTCATGATGGAGACAAGAATGGTTTGCAAAATAGAAAAAAAAACTATAGGGATGTGACATGAATGTTATAGTATAGATTTAGTTAGACTTCCTTTCTTTTTCTCTTATAGCCTCTCTTTAAGCTCTTATTTATTCTTTCTTCCTTTTTATCTGCATTATGTGTAATGTTTTACCCTTAAAGGGTTAGCCTGGGGGAAGGGATATGCATGTATGGTTTTTCTCAAGGTTTTCCTATTCACCAGGTTTATTTCAAAGCAGGAATGAATGTTATCCAGATCATATTGGTCAATGATTATGAGAATGTCATCCATTCAGTTCAAAATATCATTCAGTTTACCTTCTAATGACAGCTGGGATATTTGATCTGCAGATATGTATTGGCAGACTTCAGTTTGGATTGTAGAAATTGAAATATGTAGGAGATTAGCGGATAAGATCTATCTACATGCAGCAGATAATAGCTGCTCTTTTTCATTCTTCACTTAGATCTTTTTTGTTTTGTTTTGAGCTGGAGCATTGTGGCCACTCTGTGAATAATAAACAGGGATGACAGACCAGAAAATGCTTCAGAATAAATGTTCATACCTGCTGCTTTCTAACTCAAAAGATATGTATAGGAATTTGGTATTAATCTGGCAATCATAAGGTGGCCAAACTTTTGGACTTCTAATCTTCTTTCTGAACTGTAGTCAGTTTTCCTTTGGTCCCCATTTTTATTTTCATCTTTTATACAAAACTGTTCCATGAAGTTTGTCTTAAATTTCAGTTTTGTTGCTTAGTGTTTTTTTCTCCTCTTTTGCAGCATCAAAACTCTCATCAATAACATAGCACGAAAAAGCAGGCTAGATACCTAACCTGTAACCTTTTTATCGGTTTCTTAAATCCTGCACAAAAATAATTATATATATATATATTCTTAAGTTTTCGCGGGTACTTACATCTATGGCATTCAGCTTTGTTCGGGTATTTTCCCACGTTATAGTAGTTGTGCTTTTAAAGTTGTAGCAACGTTTCGGCAGAATCTCATCTGCCATCATCAGGCTTCTGTATTGTGTTCGTCTGATGATGGCAGATGAGATTCTGCCAAAACGTTGCTACAATTTTAAAAGTACAACTATAATGACTTGGGAAAATACCCGAACAAAGCTGAATACCATACATGTAAGTACCCACGAAAACTTAAGAAAACAATATATACCTAAGATTATTTTTCTGCAGGATATATATATATATATATATGTTGCAATGGAAGTGTAATGCAGTCTGCACAAACTATCATTTTTAAATTAATGTTAGATATTCCCTTAATTTAAAATGAACATTACAAGAGAGACCCAAAGGTGCTTTTTCAAAAGGCAACTGGACCTTCTTTGTTTTTGCTTGAAGACGTTTCACTTCTCATCCAAGAAGCTTCTTCAGTTCTTCCTCAGTTCTTCAAGCAAAAACAAAGACAGTCCAGTTGCCTTTTGAAAAAGCACCTTTGGGACAACCATGACCTGGATGCCTGAGAATCTCCACAGACAAATTACAAGAGAGACTGCATAGAATGGAAAATCCAAAGCAACACTACAGGATCATATGGAAAAGATTCTTCATTTTTGCCATTGAATTTTGCCTCTGCTAGTATACCTTTGCAGACGCTGCCTTCCTCGCTTAAGAAGCAGATTCAGTTGATGGCCAAACTCCTGCTTGGCCTGTTAGACTTCAAAACATTCTCCTTACATTCATTTCAGTTATAATCCTTTTGATGGTCCCAATGAGAATCCTGAGGCTGAACTACCACTTACGGCTGGCGAGTATATTTATGTTTATGGAGAAATGGATGAAGATGGCTTTTTTGAAGGTACACTGTAAGATGCATGAAAAAACGGAGATGTAAAGGAGGCGAAGTATAGAATAACTCATCAAAATAGTCTTGTCTATGGGAATGGGTGGCTTTAATAAAGTATTGTTAATATTATTACTATTAATAAAAGACCCGGGAGAAGTTGGGTGCTTTTAACAGGAATTTAACCATGAGCAGGACAGTGGTGGGATTCAAACATTTTTACCACCGGTTCGGGGTGTGTGGTTTGGTGGGTGTGTTTTGTGCATGTGCACACACACAAAGTGTGTACACATGCACAGAGGCGTGTGAGCAAGCGCAGAGGCATTCCAACTCACCTTCTGCAAGCCTGCACTCTCCCGGTCGCTTCAGCAGCTGCCACGCAAAGCAGCTGCGCTTCAAAGGTGGAGCAATGGAGAGAACTGGTTCGGTCTCTGCTTCTCATTGCCGCTACCGGCTTGGCAGAATCGGGCTGAACCGGTAGAATACCACCACTGGACCAGGAAAAGTTTCCAAACTTTTTCAGTCCACTGCCCCCTTGGTGCTACAAACTCATCCTCGGTGGCCCTCACCCAGGGGTGGGATTCAAATTTCTGTGGGTGTGGCCTAATTTGAGGGTGTGGCTTGCTGGTCATGTGACTGAGTAGGCATGGCTTGCTGGTCATGTGACTGGGTGGACGTGGCCAGGTGACTGGCAAACCAAATACAAGTGGTCCTCACTTAATGGCCAGTTGTTTAGCAAGTGTTCTAATTTATGATTGGCCTCCCCAGAGCTACTTGACCTGTTTTTGGAGTTTTGACAGCTTTAGATCAGGGGTCTAAATCCCACCCTTGCCTGTGTGTGTGAGAGAGAGGGAGAGAGAGAGGTTGGATCAGATCTCTCTCTATCTCTCCCACCAACGCCAGAAAGCCACAGTCAGTCAAAATTCATATTAGTGGTCTCCGGGATTTAAAATTATGAGTTTGGTGGTCCCTGAGGTCCAAAAGTTTGGCGCCCCCTGATCTAAAGGGGTGAGCCTGAGAGAGGGAAAGAGAGAGAGAAAAGAAAGGGATAGAGCAAGAGAGGAAGAAAAGAAAGAGAAAAGGGAAAGAAAGAAAAAGGGACAAACAAAGAAGGGAAGATGGAAGGAAGGGACAGAAAGAAAAAGAAATAAAGAAGAAGGGAGGGAGGAGAAAGATAATGAGATATCTATTCTAGTCCAATAACCTGATCCAGCAGGGTTAGAAGGGTGTGTGTGTGTGTGTGTGTGTGTGTGTGTGTGTGTGTGTGTGTGTGTTCTCCTTGTAATTTACCAGTACATTTTAGGTTTTGCCTTCTTCAGAATTGGCACTGTAATACATTGGGGAAAAGTAATTTTTAGGGTGGAGATCTGGTGCAATGGATCCTGCTTAAAGCCTCAACAAAATGTGGGAGCTTCCTGATAGTCTTGACCATGTTTCGTCCACAAAACCTTTAATAGAAGCCAAAGAGGTTTCAATCTGCTGGCAAAGATGTTTCAGTGTGGAAAAGGGTCTCAGTCTAAAATAGGCCTCATTCAGTCTGATGCATCAGGTCTCTCTCTCTTTCTCTCTCTCTCTTTCTCTTTCTCTCTCTCCCTCCCTCCCTCCCTCCCTCTCAGACTGGCTTTGCTCTACTTTCCCAATGTGCCTGCGGGGCCAGCACTTCGAACATGGATGGATGGATGGAGATAGATAAATAGATGATAGATAGATAGATAGATAGATAGATAGATAGATAGATAGATGCAGGCAGGCAGGCAGGTAGGCAAGAAGGCAGGCAGGCAAACAGACAGACCTTTGGGATGGACGGACAGACAGACAGACAGACAGGCAGAATGTGACAGCGGCAGCACTTTGGGAAAGCGGTGGCGGCGGCTTTTCCCAATGTGCTGCCGCATTTGAGGCACCAGTTCCGGAGCGTTACTACAGTCAATGGGTGAACCTGCAGGGCCGGCGCCTTGAACGCCCCCCTGCCGCCTCAATTATTCTTACTGTAAGGAAAGTTTTTAAGTGTCAGTTTTACCCTGCTGTAGGCCTCAGCTGCATCTGAGCTATTTACAGTAATACAACCAGCACAGTAAAAAAGAGCTGATGTGGTATAGTGATTAAGATATCCCTTGGAGCAGGGAGGTCCACATTGTAGTCCAACTACAGTCATGGAAGTCACGGGATAACTTTGGGCCTGTCACTCTCAGCCCAACAGTATTTACCAATCATATAGTTTTAATATCTCTATATGCTGGGCTGCCATTTGTGGCTATTTTGGGGCAGCCAGGAACATAAGAAAGTCTGGTTAGTTCCCCTTAAAGATCCAGCCTTCCTGTTTTTCCAATCATAAACAGAGTGGAGATATAGTGTTTTATCTAAATCAGGGGAAATGTTTTGGAAATATATTTTAAATCATCTGTGTTAGGCTAGGCTAGGATAGAATGGAATAGAACTTTATTGTCACTTTGAATGTACGCTAATCAGCATACATTAAAATGAAATTTCATTGCATTCAGCTCTCAAAGGGTCACCACCTCCAAATATACACTACATCAAGGGTCTTCATACTTGACAAGTTTAAGTCTTGTGGACTCCCAGAATTCCTGAGCTAACATGACTGGAGGAGGAATTCTGGGAGTTGAAGTCCACCAGTCTTAAAGCTGTCAAGTTTGAAGAGCCCTTGCACTACATAAACAGGACGCTGGGGGTGGGGGAGCGGTGTTAGAGTTATTTCACCTGAGGCCACAGGGTCTTCTGATCTCTCATGTTGTTAAATTCATCTTCAGGGGAGCTGATGGATGGCCGGAGAGGCCTTGTCCCTTCCAACTTTGTGGAGCGACTTGCAGATGATGACCTGGTTGCTTTCTTGCCTCAGGAACTCCATGATCTCTCCCAAAGCTCCCCTCTTGAGCGGAGTTTTCTCAGCATAAGTATCAGCAGTGGAGAGAGAAGTGATTATTCATCGGAGGAGCTCAATGCCAGCACAGCTCCCTCTAGGCTAGAAGGGGACCAAGGAGAAGGAGGTATTTCCATTGCAGTGCCTTATCCCAGAAAGGTGACTCTAATCAAACAGTTTGCCTCTAGTCTCTTGGTGACATGGGATCCACCACTGGTGCCTAGTGGAAGCTGCTTGGATATCCAGAGCTACAATGTCTATGTGGACACTGAACTCCGGGAAAATGTGAAGGCCGGTTCCCAGATGAAGGCCATGATTGACAAACTGGACTTGAAAACAAAAGCCTATCGCGTCTCCATACAGAGTGTTTCAGAGAAAGGGAGCTCAGACAGACTGCAGTGCACGTTCCTGGTGGGGTGTGGTTTTGTCTTGGCTCCAAGTCAGCTTCAAGTGCGGAGTGTCAAGGCCACTTCTGTGGAGCTCTCCTGGATATCGAGCAACAGCAATTTCTCACATACCATATACCTCAACGGGGGAGCGTGTGATATAGTGAAGGCTGGAATATATTGGTACACGTTTCGCAACCTGAACCCAAACACTTCCTACATTGCCACAGTCGAAATCCAGCCGCAGCAGACTTTCTGGAAACCATTCCCAGAAGGGGAAGAGCAGGCCTTGTCCACAGAGATCCAGTTCACTACATCTTCAGCAGGTAAGAAAAGCGTTTAGAGATTCTGCAGAATTGGACAGCGTATTCCAGCTGTGGCCTCACTAATGCAGTATAACTAGGTATTATTCAGAGGTGGTATTCAGCAGGTTCTGACCAGTTCTGGAGAACCAGTAGTGGACATTTTGAGTAGCTCGGTGAACCAATGGTAACCTTCCCCCAGGAGTGGAGAGGGAATGGAGATTTTGCAGTATCATTCTCTAGCCACGCCAACCAAGCCATGCCCACAGAACTGGTAGTAAAAATGTTTGAATCCCACCACTGGTATTATCACGGTTCAATAGTTTTGAGATCACATCTGCCAGCTCTTCTTCAGAATCCTGCAATGTAAACCATCTGGTCCTGGCAATTTCAACTCATCTAGATTGGGTAGGTGTTCTCTTGTCAGTTTCTTGCTTATTTTGATCTGCATTCCAGCTTTGTCTCCCATGATGTTCCTTTTGGTAGGTTGAACTAACAACAATAACACAATTCTAAAGGAGGGGACCCATTAAAGCACTCCATTGATGACCTCAGTTTTGAGCTATTCATAGATCATGCAGTTTTCTTGTGTCCTGTTGATTTGCTGGGTATTTTTGCAAATCTACTTGTTACTAAATTTCTGGCTGTAACTACAGTCCTGTTTATGGCTTTTGCTATAAGGATACTGAGGGTCTGTGATGACCCAGGGTGTGGCACAAAGGCAACACAGTCAGATAATCAGTAGAAGTCCCTTTATTAGCTCTAACTTTGCCCCCAATGTCCTGGTTATCTTCTGGCTGGAGAAAAACTCTCCCATAACAGCCTTTGGCCGCAGAGAATCAAGTCCAAAACGTGATCAACAAAAACTGTAACTGTAACTCCAATCAAGGCAAAATGAGGTAATTAGTCCAACAGGGCAGGAGCAAGAATTCCAGACGTGAGGCATGGCAATAACTCAGTTGGGAAGACGCCAGGAACACAGATAAGCAAAGTCAACACAAGATAAACTCACGTTTGCTCCCAGCAGCTGCCGCACTCAGCATGCATTTCTTTTAAACTCTCTTCCCAGCTGTGGCTAATGAAGGGAATCAGGGCCCTTTCCTCCCCCATAAGACATGCAACCCATGTTGCTCTCTTCTCCATTCATCCCTGCGTGCCCTAGGATGAAGAGGAGGTAGGCCTGGGTCTTCCTCTGAACTCCCTCTCCCTTGTTCTACCTCTTCCCTGCTCTGCCCAGCCAGTCTTTACCCTTCCCCAGTTTCCTCCACAGCCCACGGAGCCACACTCCCATTCCCTGTCAGCTGTTCATCTTCCTCCTTGGATTCAGACTCCACAGGGGCATGACAAGGTCGAACCTTGAACACATTTATCATGCTCATTGCTTAGAAGTACTGATTCCTGAGATACAGGCACTAATAATTAACAAGTGATTAGAGGGAGATGCTTTGTTAGATGGAAATATTTTGTTTAAAGCTCTAAAAACTACTAGAGGGTTGCAGTCTATTAGTTGAAGGACTTTACTGAGAACACTCTTGTTTCCATCCCTTCAATATCCTCCTCATAAGCCTCCTTTTCTTCAGCCTCCATTTTCCCTCCTTCCACATGGAGCTCTGCTTGAGCAGTGAGTTAGACTAAAAGACCTCCAAGGTCTCTTCCAATTCTGTTATTCTGTTATTCTGTTACTCCTTTGGAGTCTCTATGTTGTATTTTTTCCCCTTAGTCCTTCAGTTTTAGGGACCTTAGATTAAGCTTCCTATACACTTTTTGGGCCACATCAATTTTACCATGCTGGTGTTTTTGCAGAAGGAATAGCCAATGACTCTTTCTTCAGGGTCTCCAGATGCTCCGCTGGATGTCCGAGTGGATCCTGGCCCCACATCTGGTATTCTGGTCATCAGCTGGTTGCCAGTCACCATTGATGCTGAAGGATCATCCAATGGAGTGCGTGTCACTGGCTATGCAGTGTATGCTGATGGACAAAAGGTACCAAGTTGTTTTGGGCATGGCTGGAAGAAAATTAGAACAGTATCATTTCCACCCAGGGTAAGATATCAACACTGAACACGGAGGAATAGAATCTAACAGTGCCAGGATTTTCTCCAGAACTCAGTTTGGTATTTTTTTTTTTTCATGCTGTGAGATTTAAAACATTTATCTTCCCGCCTTGCACTTCAATCCATCATTCTTTATCTATTAGATTTGATTCCGAATATAGGTCGTCCTTAACTTACAACCACAATTGGAACCAAAACTTCCATCGCTAAGCAAGGCAGTCATTAAGTGAGTCATCACATGACCATGACTGCTTTTATGACCTTTCCTCTCACAATCATTAAGAGAATCACATGGTTGTTAAGTGAATCTGGCTGGCCCAGCCGACTTTGCTTGTCATAAGCTGTCTGGGAAGATCATAAATGGCAATCAATCAATCAGAATTGATCATTCAATCAGAGTAGAGCTGGAAAGAATCACGTAACCCTGGGATGCCGCAGCCATCCTAATACACGCTAGTATCCATGCCTGGATTGCAATTGTGACTATGAGGCTGCTGTAATCGTTGTGTGAGGACTGGTTGTAAGAAACTTTTTTCCGCAGAGTCATTAACTTCAAACAGTCACTAAATGAATGGTTGTAAATCAAGGGTTGTTTGTAGAGTTCTTCCTTGCACATTCTTTTAGCACCCAGAATAGACAGTTCTGATGGTTTGTCTTATAACCTAAATGCTTTATTAAAAGGCTCACTGTGTGGCTTAAAGATCTTTGTATGATTGCTTTTTGGGAGTTAGAGAAATTATGTAAAGTGCAACATACCCAGAGAAGTAGTGAACAGAAATAATTGAAGGCAGGAGATTGAAAAAGGGGGAAAATTAAATTTAGTTTTCACCAATACTACTGACTAGACCTCTCCAAACTTCATCCTTATGTTCACTGTATGCACCCATGTATATACTCTGCCCTACTACATCCCCTATCTTTCTACTTAGAGACCCTCTTACTTGTTCATCACTAAGAATGAGCCATCCCTTTTTTTGCAGAAGGTGCCTCAGCCTTTCTCTATCTTCCTACTTATTTCAAGTGAATTACTCTTATTTCAGGTGATGGAAGTTACCTCTCCAACAGCTGGTAGTGTCCTGATTGAGATTTCCCAGCTGCAGATCCTCCAGCTCTGTCAGGAAGTGACTGTAAGAACGGTGTCTCTTTATGGGGAATCGGTGGATTCTGTGGCAGCTCAGATCCCTTCGGCATTGTTGGAAGAAGTAGAGCGCTCTTCTGAATCTCAATTTCGTGGTCGTCCCTCCCGGCTTCTGGGTGGGGGAGCACCGGCTCTTGTCACACGAACTTCTCAGGTTCCAGGGAAAGAACTGCCTTCTGCCACTAAGAACTCAGTTGCCAAACTCACCTTGCAGACCACTATTACCAGTGAAAAATCTGGGGATCAAGTGCATTCAGAGACATCCTCCAATGTCAAGGTTCCCTTGACACCAACGGTGCAAGCCGTGTCACCAGAACTTGGAACTCTTCCAGGAGAAGAAGGGAATTACCTTCTGCCCTCTGCAGGCAGTGTGGTGAAGGAAGATCTGACTGTGCTCAAGAAGGAGAAATCTGGAGAAGACAGCCAGGTAAATGTGAAATTCCTTCCTTCCTAGGAGATAAGTAGAGGTTGGGGAAGGACCACTGGTGCTATTCTACCGGTTTGGCCCGGTTCTGGCGTACCGAAGATCAGCTGGCAGAGAACTGGTTTGCTGCGAGTCTCTCCAACGCTCTGCAGTTGGGCCCACCTGCCCACCCGAGCTCCCTTTATTAACTGCTTGTGAAGTGCAGCTGCTTTGCATGTCACAGCAGATTGCTGCGCGGCAGCTGTTGAAGCTAGAGGGAGAGTGCAGGATTGCAGGAGGTGAGTAGGAAAGCCTCTGCACATGCGCAAAGTGTGTGCATGCACACAGAGTGCGCCCACCAAGCCATGCCCACCGAACTGGTGGTAAGCCACTTTGAAATCCACCACTGGGAGGAATCCATGAACACTGAAATAAATATCTTTCTGGCCATGGTATGCTATAATACAGGGGTGTCAAACTGGCAGCCCACAGGCTGGATCCATCATGCACAGGCCACGCCCACTCCAGCTCCACAAATGGGAAAAATGTCATGAAAAGTCGCATGACATATCTGAAATTAAGTTTTATTCAACCATGAAGCTGGTGCGGAATCTTGGGCCAGTCATTAACTCAGTTCATAGATTTCACTAAGCCACATTTTCATCATGCTTTGTCTTAACCCACATAAACCATAATTTACAAAGCAGCAAAGCTTGATTTATACATCAGTATCTCATTTCCCAAGGCAAGGAATTATTTTTTTAGCAGTTTTAATGTTTTTTTGTATGCCACTCCAGGTCTGTTGGAATTGGGTGGCCAAAACATTTAAATAAACAATAATAAATCCAAACATAGTTTAGAATCATATGTGAATCCAGCTTTTTTCAAATAACCAACTGCCTGCCCCACTTAGATAAACCAGACCAGGAAACCAGATCCACTGGAAGGCTCAAACTACTTGCATTAAGATCAGCTATAATAATGAAATCTTACAAATTTGATTGTGCTGTATCTCTTCCCTTTCTTATATTCCAGTGAATCAGGCAGGGGTCTGCCTAAGCTGCCTTTAAATATTACCTCATTGGTTAGGATTTTAAAAAAACGTTGCAGCCCCTTTTGCCTATTCTTGATTACATCTTGTATTGAACAGAGCAATAAAGCTATGTATCTTGTTCCACTAACGCCTGTTGAAGTCCGAATCCATAATGTATATCACGAAGCAACAGCAATCAGTTAAACTTCTTCAGCAAAACCACAATTAAGCAGAAGACACAGAAAAGTCTGTTAATATGATTCTTAGGGGATTTGTATGCACAATTCTGATTCCACTTTCATTCACACCGTGTTTTCCTCTAATAACCAACCCATAGGCAGCATCAACTCTTACCAAGCCCTAGATGAAATATGCTCTCATAACTTTACAGGGATCTCTCTCCCTCCCTCTTCCTAATTAGAAAAAGAACATAACTGCTAATTTCACATTTAATATTGTTAGGTTTTGTGCAGCTCAGAATCTGAATTAATCCAATGAAACTCTGAACACGAGGCTACTGATATTCAGCTTTTTTATTGATCAAGACTAAAGCTGGCCGTCTTTAATCTCCTGCCTCAAACATCAAGGCAAAGAGAGAAAAAGCAGGCATGCAAAAAAAAAACCAAAAACATTTTTCTTTCTTATATTCTACACAGTTTGCATAGATTGTCATTCTCTTAGAAACACAATTTGATATCCATTACTTCATGCAAAAGCTCACGACTTTCTCAGCGCTCTGAAACAATGGACCCCAGAAAGGGGAAATGAATACGTTTTCTAGCATATAGCCCAGAGTTTGTTAGAATTATCTCACATTAGGTTGCTGAGAATACACATTTTAAGTTACAAGCAAGGCTAAGTTTGGCAATTAGCCTGGAGGCTTTATCTCCTCAGTTGGCACATTAGGTGACAATGGAGCTTCTCTCAGCAGCAATAACAAAAGCTGAGTTAGGTTACACTCTGTGTATGTTCTAATCCTTTCAATATCCATATTATTTTAATATTAAGAGATATTAATAATTAAGAGATGCTAATACGACATCTCTCTGCAACAATGTGCTCCCAGGAACTGCTGCTCACCGTGACAAAACAGGAGCTGCACAGTTCAGACAGTGGTGCTATTAGCCTAGAGACCTGTGGAAGCTGCCCTGCAGAACAGGAGACAAGTGCCCCACCAGAAAGAGAGCCAGAGAACAACCAGAGCTCCCTGGAGCCAAAGATACCACCCACGGACAGACCTTCCATGCAAGAAGACGACAGCACCTGGGAGGTGGGCCAAAGCGAAGGACAAACTCCAGAGCCTTTAGTCGAGTCTTCAGGGAGGATGAAGCCGTTGAAAGAAGGCTCCAGAGATGACGCCTCTCAGCTGGTGGCCAGGAGCAGAAGAGAGGTCGGTATTCATTGATCAAAGGCCTCTTCGGTTTGGAAAACCTAATGATCCATAACTTCATACAAACCGCAAAGACTTTTGGTCTTCATGCAAGGACGTGAATGTGCACACGTCATGATTGTTTATATTAACAGTTTGTAATGTTTCCTGTCTGAGGCCTGCTAGAAACCAAATCAGTCAGGATTTAAGAAGGGACTTTTTCTGACTTCTGGGGAAACATTTGGCTAAAAGACAAAATAAAATTGCTTTAAATAATACATTCCAAAACATCAAAGGCTATACTGGGCTATACTGAAAAAAAAAATAATCAAAATGCGTTCCAAAACTCTATTGTGTTGTTACGGCTACTGTCTTGGCTTTTTTGACCATACCTTGCCAACACTTCCAAAAATATCCAGATCAGTGTTAAAATTGGCATCATCCAAAGGGTAAATGCAATTTCATATTTGAAGATATATATTCAGTATGAAAGTAGTGATTTGGGAAGGGGTTCAGTTATTAATTCCAATAATACAGCATTCGATTTTTCACTAATAAGCCTTTCCTCCTGAATTTCTTTAGCAAGCAGAGAAAAGGTCAGAACCAGGAAATCGACCACTAAATATTTTAACTGACCACAATCGTGGTTCTGACCTTTCTGATATTACGGAGGAGGAGGAGGAGGAGGATGAGAAGGAGGAGGAAGAAGAGAAACCAGTTTCGGGTAGGCCAGGGGAGATGAAATGGAATCCAAGTGAATATTGCAGCAGAGAAAATGGAGACAAGGTATTCTTATTTTTGCTGTCCTTAAGGAGCAGTTGCAAATTTGCTCAACTCTTTCAAACATCTTCATGAGATTATTTGCTCATTTCTGATACTCCCCAAACTCAGGACATATCCCAAAATTGCTGCAAATATTAATATAATATTTAATATTAAATAAAAATAACATTAAAGAGCCATGGTTAGAATGCAGTATTGCAGGCTACTTTTGCTGCCTGCTGGCTGTCTGCAATTTGGCAGTTCAAATCCCACCAGGCTCAAGATTGACTCGGCCTTCCATCCTTCCGAGGTCGGTAAAATGAGGACCCAGGTTGTGGGGGGCAATAGGCTGACTCTGTAAACTCCTTAGAGAGGGATGCTTTTCACTGGCAGAGGATTGCAGGAGGCCATCGCAGCCGGAAATGGAGCTCAGGAGCCTGTTTTCACTAGCAGAGTGCTCTGGCTGCCACAGGCACACACACACCGCGACACGAGTGACTTTGAGCTGGCTATGCCCATCCCCCCCCCCGAGGGCAAACACAACCCTGATGCGGCCCTCAATGAAATCGAGATTGACACCCCTGACTTAGATCAACCCTGTTTTCCTTTCATGCCCTGCCAGACTATATCCCCACCATTGCTACTCTCCATTTTGTTATATCTCTTTCCCAATTTTACCTGTGTTCCTGCCCACTCATAGTTCTCTAGGAGGAGACGTGTTCCATCATCTAGTTCTGTTAATCTAGCACTCTCCGTCCTGATGGTGCCATAATGTCAGAGCCCATCTGGCTTTTTTAAGAATGTTAGCAATTCCAGAAAATTTATATAGGATACGTTATACCTGAGCTTTGAACAGTTGATGCCACCATATCAAACTCTTTGTTCTGCACGGAGCAATCTATTTATTTACAATTTTAACTTATACCCTGCCTTTCCTCTGAGAGTTCATGACATCATGGTCCCCTTCTTAGCTCTATGAAGAAAATCTTCTTACCTGCAGCTGTGGCAGCACACAGTCACAACACCTAGGCCAAAAATCACCACTGTGGGAATACATGGACCTGATTACTTTTTTTGGGGGAAAAACATGATACCCTAGATAACTCTTGCACAAGGAGAGTATTGCCAAGATATATCAGTGCTGAGGTGGTGAGGTTCATGTTCTGTGCTGCCAGCCTCCCTAGCACTATTTTAGTTCCTCCTCTCCAATTTCCTAGAGAACTACATATGCAAAATGAGGATGAACTGAGCTGCAGGAATCCCCATGACTTTTAGATAGCAGGAAAAAGTTAGAGATTCTCTTTGCTGCCATCTGATGGCCAGGTAGATTATTGCATTCCAGATCTGGTAATCCTACTCTTTGCTAGGTTGAGGAATAACTAAGGGGAGTTTCTTGAATGTGTAAATGAAAATGACGCATGTAAATGTAAATGATCTAATTTTGTACTTTTGATGATGGTGGAAAACCTTGACTGGATGGACTTTTCCTACATCAAGAAGAGATAGAGCAGTAGAACACTAACTGTCATTGGGTGACTACTCTGATCTGAAGAATTCCTGATTGGATTTCATGATCTTTGAGAGGAGGCTGACCAGACAAATGCCATTATGGAAAAAGCTACAGAAAGCCAAACAACGGGGAATAACAGGCATCATTTCCTCATGTGCTAAATTCATTAGAATATTAAAAGTTTTTCTCTTACAATCTTTAAATGCTTTGGACTATATTTCCTATCATTCCCAACCAGCTATTGTCAGCATGGCTATTACCTAATATACATGTAAGTTATGTAGATGGGGAAAACTATCCTACATCTTTCCATGGGAGGAAGAATGGTATATAAATGCTGATGATCATGATAATCACAATCTATTTCAAGTAGATTGGAGTAGCCATGTGATATGTAATACACCAAGATATACTCCAGTTCCAGTTGTACTGCTGGAGGCTCAACCATTTATTTGCCCATTTCCATTTTCCACATTTTTTTTCTGTGTAAAGGAATGGCCTCTTTAGCTTTGTAACAGGTCTTGGTGCTGGATTCTAGAAGGGTTCAAACATTGAAAGAACCCTGCTGGAGCCAGATGAAAATAGATTCATCAAAACTAGAATCTTGCTTTCGATATGGAAGCCCACAATCATGAAATAAAAACCTGTGCTTCAGCAATAAGTTTGAAGAGTTGTTCTGCCTCTGAGTATCGCTCTTCCATTTAATTACCTTCATTCATCGCCATTGACTGATGTTTCACTTTGTGAATTTGTCTAGTCCTTATTTAATGCCATCTACAGGAGTGATGGTAGGTGTTGTTTATCCATCTTTTAATGCCTAATTCCTCTTTCTCTCTTTGCTTCTTCCTTGATGGTCTGGTTTCTGGGTCTGGAGCACAGTTGGATCTTGGTGATACTGACAGCGATGAAGAAATCTTGGAACGGATTCTGGAAATGCCACTGCAAAAAAAATGCAGCAAGGCTCTGTTTAGTATTCCTGAAGTGACTGAAGAGGAAGAGGAGCAAGAACAGGAAGATGATGGTGATGATGATGATGATGAAGGCTGGGACCCTGTCCTAAACCAACCTATTTCCATCCCTCTGGAAAAGAAGACTGTGGAAAGCTTCCAGAGTAAGCTTCCTAATCATACCAGAAGAACACAAAGTCCTCTCGGTTCTTGGTCTAAAAAAAACCACAATCTTTCAGAGCTGATCTTACCTGAAAGGACCCTTCTACAGAAATTTAGAGGAGAATGTATGAATGAAACGTCCAGTTGCTCTGGAAGATGGGATGGTGAAGATATGACCTATCAGTGGGATGATAGAAAGAAACCATCAAGATCTCCTCTTTTGGAATGGAGAAGATCCAGTCATTGCAAGGAGAAGACCCGTGTCCAACCCCAGGGACATAGGAAGCGAAAAGGAGACATCCGAGAGCCCAGTGTTTCTCTGCGGAGCAATTCCTACTACACTGGAGGGGGTCTTTACAGAGCACAGAGCCTCACAGAGAATTTGGATGTGATCACCAGCCTTGAGATGGAGGATGACTTGAAGCTGTGCAGCTGGGCAGGACAAAGGCCTGATCAAGTTCCTTCAAGGAGAATGATGCCCCAAGAGAAAAGGGAGAAAGCTGTGCAAGGCCTCCCCCGCTGCCTCAGCCCAGAGAATTTGGAGATAGACATTGAGTATGATTCAAACGAGGAAGAGGATTTAACCATCACTTCCACACCAGTGAGCCTGTTGAGTTCAGATGGGAGGGCTGATGGATCACCAACAGATTGTGAGGAGGAATGGAGTGATTGCTCCAGCCAGTCAGGATCAATCCAATCCAGTGCGCGACGAGAACTGAAGCGATCCAGTAGTTGGGAGGGAGAGAGCACGGATTGGAGCACATCTCCCAGCCATTCACCTGGACATTGTGGATGGAGGAAGAAGGCCAGTGGTGCCCCAGAAGAGTGGAACAGGACTCGGGAGAAAAGCCCCTCTGTCTTGGGAGCCAGGCCAGAGCAGGCTTGGAAGGAGGGCCCACTTGTGCAAACATGGGTCTGTGAGACACTTCCTTCATCAACTGGTGTTGTCACAGCAGCTTGCCACAATTCTGACTGTGCTTTTGACCCTTTGCTCCTATGCTTGCTTGCTTTCTGCTTATTGTGTTGAGTGCTTTACAAAATAGAGGCTTCTGTTTTTATTTGAAACTTACAGCACATTTGTGTGATACTCCTTATTGGCTTTTCTCATATTTTGCTTTGGGATTGGCTACCAATCAGACATCACTGGCTGAAAATATCTAATGCAGTATTCCTTTTCCCCATTAATTTTTAGGGAAAGTCTGCAAACTTAAATACCCTTTATTTTAAATCGTGAATCTCTTTTAATTTGCAACAAGCCTTCCACAAAGAAGCTGCCATCTGATCAAGGTGGTCTATGAATGATTTATATCAATGTAACCTTGATTGATAAGATCTAGTGGTTCACAAGGTGTATAGAAAACTCAAAGGAAATGAGAATTTCTCGGTTTCACGGCAAACGCCAACTCTCACAATGAATGGAGGAATATATATTATGGTGTCAAAATGACAGATTCCGTTTAACTGCAAAACTGAGCCTATGCAATTTGCTTTGCTTTTGGTCAGTGCTTTGTGGAAACGCTCACAAAAGAGGAATGCTGCATTCTAGCCCTTTGCATTTTGTGCTTTTTGCTGCAGGGTGTAGCTGAAATGCCAGTGAATAAACACAGGACTGATTCTGCCAAGGGTTTCTCTTTCAGGTGACAGGTAGTCCCGGGTTGTTGGACTCAACATCGTATCAGTCACCTGTCCAGAGAGACAGAAGAACTCCGAGAAAAAGTCAAGAAGGGACCCTATCTCCCAATGGAACTATTGGTGAGTTAGTTGCAGTTTCCATTAGGGCTGTTTTAAAGTGGGAGGGGGCAATTTTAGCAAGAGTTGAACAAGGATGGCTCCAAACCTCCTTACAAGATTACGTACATGAAGGAGTTAAAATCACAGTATCAAGCCCATCCATCCAAATTCGCAACCGCCACACCAGGGCTAGGAATTCTGTCCTGATAGACAAACTCGGTCCAACTATGATTTGCTTTTGTGTCCTGGTTAGGAACTTGGAGGAATCCTTCCCTTGAATCAGCAGATGATAAGGGCTCAATGCGTCTGTTTGTGGCTCTTTTTGACTATGACCCTGTTTCGATGTCCCCTAATCGGGATGCTGCTGAAGAGGAGCTCCCATTTCAAGAGGGCCAGATTTTGAAGGTACGAGCGACACCAAGAAGAGATGTATTGGCAGGGCTCAATTCTCACAGAGTAGGTGAATCTAGAGCTCTCTGATTTATATATATATACAAAAAGTTTACAGCTTGGCAGAATGCCTTAGTGTGGCCAATAGTTCAGCTGCATAGTGTTCGGCTCAGAAATAGTTTTATTGGAATAACTATAAATAACTGGAGAAGCCTTGCAGTTCTCCAAGATGGTTCATCCAACTTGGAGGCACAGAATGCTAGAGAATACATGCAAAAGTGAGCTTCGGTTTATTTTTATTATTATTATCTATCTTTATCTTTACTACAGAGAGGGCAGTGGAGGGTGGGAGAGATACCTACGGAGTCTATCCGCCCCCCAACAATACTGATGTTTTCTTTCACAGGCCACTTAACCCAATTGTGGCTTTATTCTCAAAACAGATGAGATTGAAAGAATTGTACTCTTAAGGTTTTCAGCAGATGTCATTAAAGGAGGAAGTGATGATGATTGCTGGATCTTCCTGGGCTGAACCAGAAGGTTTGAAAAGAGGCAGTCATGTCATATTTCAGTGCAGTTATAGGCAGTCTTTGACTTATGTCCACAATTGAACCCAGAGATTTGGTTGTAGGTTGTTGAAGTCTTTAAGCGGGTCACTATGTGATCTGATTCAATTTGATGACCATTTTTATGACAGTCTGAGCCAGTGTGGTCTCTTTAAGTAAATTAGGTGGTGGTTAAATGAACTATGCAATTGATAAGCAAATGCAACATATTTAGTGCTGAGGAATGACAAAAAAATGTTGAATCACAATCATGTGATCTTGGGACACTGCAACTGGTATGATCCATCTGCCATGTGCCCGAAATGTAATCCTGTGACCATGGGGATGGGTTGTTGTTGGTGGTCATAACTTTGAGGATAAATGGTAGGTTTTTAAAGTCTGTCATAACATTGAAAAGTTGTTAAGTAACCAAGGGCTACTTGTAGCGTGCTTTGTGGAATTGTGTAAGATCTTTGATTAAATGGAGCATTGTGAATGCATCCAACAAAATACAGATGCAGCCTGTCTTAAAATTTTCCCTGCCCATGCTGTGGAGAGGTACCGGTTGTTTCATCTTCATTTTCCAAATATTCCAAATATTTAAGAAAGGTTAGTATGATTTTGCCAATGTCACCACATGAAGCATCATGGAGGAAGTAGAAATTTGAATCCTAATGCCTCTTCTCTAAGCCTTAGACCACTGCTAATCACCACCTCCTACTGGCTGTGCGAAATTCCCAACATGCTATTGATTTATAAAGAATCCCCACATATTATCTTCAGCTCATAACAACCTCTAGCTTTAATTTCATATTTTCTCCTAGTTGTCATATTGAGCTCCATACCATGAACCTGAGATCTCTTTTCTTGATGGATAATTGGAATTGGAATGGAATATTCTGTGCATTTGTATATGCCAATGTTTTTCAACCTCGACATCTTGAAGATGTGTGGACTTCAACTTCCAGAATTCCCCAGCCATCTTCAAATTGTGGGACGGCAATAATGGGATAGCTTGGCTGGCTGGGGAATTCTGGGAGTTGAAGTCCACATATCTTTAAGCTGTCAAGGTTGAGAAACATTGGGATGCCCTATTACTGCATACCTCTTGGGGATAAATTTAGCAATGGGTGGAAAGAAGTAAGCAAATATTCTTTTGGCACTGTTGCGATTGATTGTCTGCCTCCCACTTTCACAGGTCTATGGTCACAAAGATGCAGATGGTTTCTACAGAGGGGAATGTGCAGGAAGAACAGGGTTCATACCCTGCAACATGGTATCTGAGCTCCGGGTGGACAGTGACAGTGCGAGAAAACAGCTGATAGAAGAAGGCCACATTTCTACTGATATGCTGATGGAAAGTCTAGGTACTCTGCCCAAATCTAATTATATTCTTGAACTTTGCCAGGCCAGGATTGGGAACCTTTTTGAATGGGAAATCATGCTGGTTGCTATGTTCCAATAGAAAAAAAAATGGATAAGGTTATGATGACACAACCCCCTCAGATACACATGCAAAACTATTCACAGAATATCTCATGTGTACCCATATCACTGTGATTTGTCAGGGAGGCAAATTAAAACTTGAGTTAGCAAGGGTCTTGCTCAAGGAAACATCAGTCTAATGAATGAACGGTTGGGCCTTGGGGAACCAGATATTCTCTTGGATCTATATGAGTAGAAGTGTAGACTATTCTATAGGAGTAGTCAAGAGATTGCATATAATTCATGGATGATAAGTGTCCACTTACCTGTTAAAGAATGTATAGTTAATTCACTTGAGTTCTGTTGTTTCTCTGTCTCAAAGGTGCCCACGTAATGAATTAAATACTGAACAGTCAAATGCCAGGACAATGTTTAGATCGTTAGAAGAAGAAAATTCTCCATATAACGTGGTGGAATCAGACAGCAAAATAACAGATTCTACTTACATTTGGGGATAACATTATAGGGCTTTTCAGCTCAGAATCTTCCACTGTAGTGGCTTTGTAGTACCATGTGGTTCTGCCAGTTAACTGAACGATATAATATTCCAAAGTCTGGGGAGAGATTTTGGGCGCTTAGTGATACCAGGAGCATTTATCTTCTTTGGGCACTTCGACGGTTCATCAGGTTCCCCAACAATAAACCTGTTCATTCTGGACAACAATACTAAAAAAAATGTTTTGAGAGATAATTATGCATAGCAATGGATCTCCCAACCCATTGTCTACATCATACTAATCCAGAAATAAGCCTAGCAGCTTATTAAGAACCACAGGCGAATGGGAGAATAATTTACTAAGTTATTGGTCTGTATTGCATGTTAATTTAATTGTGTTTTGTTTTGTTTAATTGCAGGGAATGGTGCATTTTCTCCACCTCCACCGCACCTATCAAATCACCCTTCAAAGCCTCGACGGTCTAAGAAAGGTCAGCGCAACAGTTCCTGATAGAAGCTGCTAATATCTTGTAGCTATAAGGATAACAGAATTATCTTACTTTGTATAATTTGTATTTATTTTATTTTATTTATTTATTTATTTATAATATTTATTAAAGATTTTTAAAGAGATAAAAGACGAAAAGGTAGTAATCTAAAGTAAGATTAAAGAAAAGAAAAAGAAGAAATAATGTGAAGTGAAAAGGCAAGCAAAGTGTGGAAAGAAATATAAATAGAAAAAAGAAAAGAAAAATAAGTTCCAATCATTTTTCAAGCAGATATAAACTTATCCTCTCATCTCCCTCATTAATGTTATATCATAATTCTTCTCGTATTCTACCCTTTTAAATCAGTAAATCCATAAATCATCTGTTTATTTTTTATTTTTTTTCATTTTCAGCAAAAAGTCCATAAAACCTTTCCCATCTTCAGTAATAGTGCTTATTGGACGAGCAGCATGGTGGCCTAGTGGTGAAGACTCTCACCTCCCCCTTGGAAGGTTGAGAGTAGCAACAGATGTTTCTCCCCCAAAGCATAAAGAAAAAAAATAACATCTGCTGTGAATTTTGCATGGAATGGAATACAAAGGCATCTAGCCAATAAATGCTCACTCGGCTGCATCTAGTCATCCTGACTCTACCCCGAATTGAGGGACTACCGCAGGAGTGTCAAACTTGATTTCATTGAGGGCCTCATCTGGGTTGTGTTTGACCTTGGGGGGCTGGGGTGGGTGTGGCCAGGTTGGGCATGGCCAGTTCGATGTCACTCATGTCGGGAGCCCCTGGGGTGGCCCTCGTGAGCTCCATTTTTGGCTGCAACGGCCTCCTGCAACCCTCTGCCAGTGAAAAAGGAGCTTCAGGAGGGCCGTGAGCTGGTACTTCACTGTTTCTAGGATGGCCCCGTGGGACAGAAGTAAGCAACCCGTGGGCTGGATGCGGCCCATGGGCCTTGAATTTGACATCCCTGGTCATGAAAGGGAGTAATAAAAGTACTCATTGTCTTAACAGGATTAGCTTTTATGCGAGTTCTGCATATCCATAAGATGGCTGGAACTGTATATTTTCATAGGACTTGTATTTTCATTTAGCTAGATCATTCCACCACTTTCCAAAATAAATGTTCTTCTCCTTGGCTACTGCCTTGCTTAAGACACATTGGCAAACAAACATAGTTCGCTCCTAATACCTTTTGTCCCCCAACAGAATCAATCAGGGTGGAAGATCAGGTCCCTGATTTAGGTAAGTGTTGCTTCTGTTTTTCTTGATACTCCTAGGAGATTGGTGGCTGCAAGGAGATGTATGACAGCTCTCCCGAAATATAAGGCTTTCTTTATGACTTATAAAAAGAAAGGTGTCTCATCGATATCCTAAGAGGGCATAAAAATGTCTCTGTGATTGCAGAATCATACGATGATGTTTCTACGTTTAATAGAATCTTATGACTTAGGCTGTCAAGTTTATCCTTCTGCTCATAGCAGAAATCCAAGTTAAGACATCTCTGTCAAATAGCTGTTTAACATCTCCTTGAATGTATAGGTAGTCCTTGACTTACGACCATAATTGAGCCCAAAATTTATGTTTCTACATGAGACATTTGTTTACTGAATTTTGCCCCATTTTCTTGTCATAGTTGTTAAGTGAATCTGGCTTTCCCTTGGACTTTGCTTGCCAGAAGGTCACAAAAGCTGTTCACATCATCCAGGGATGCTGCAACGGTCATAAATATGAACTGGTTGCCAAGCATCCAAATTTTGGTCACGTGACCATGAGGATGCTGCAGTGGTCGAAAGTGTGAAAAATAGTCATAAGTCACTTTTTTCCATGACATTGTAACTTTGAACAGTCACTAAATGAACTGTTGCAATTCGAGGACTACCTGTTTTAAGTAAAGAAGAACACAGTCCTGTCATAGTCATGCTATTGTGTCATATTCCCATTTTCTGTCCCATGCATTTGGTTTTTGTTTCCTGTCTGAATAGGGAATGATCCTTGCTAGAATTTGAAAGCATAGAATATTGTCTCAGAATCCAGAAGAAGGAAACTGGATTTCCAGCAGCCAAAGTCAAGCCTCTATAAACCACCCTGACCTTTCTTATATCTAGCAAATCCAGACTAAATTATGGAGTGCATTTTGAAACGTGCAGCATAAATGATATGAAACAAAATATTTCATATAAATTTGGTCAATGTTTTGAACATGTCTGAAATTTATGTCTGGCAGAGAAGGATTTTTTTTTCATGGTAGAAGGTTGTATCGGCTCTTGGGTATGGAAGAGCATACATTCACAACTAGATCCCAATGAACAGATAAAGAACTTTGTTATATAAACCATTAAGAGAGACCCTGCTTTAAAGGAACAAATGCAACTTCCCATTCTGATCTGCTAGTTGTACATTTCCTTTCTGGCTTAGAAGCACCTGGAAAGCAAAATCCGAGTTCTGAGGACCCTACAAGAACAATGGTGGCCATTTTTGACTACAATCCCCAAGAAAATTCTCCCAATCCAGACACCGAGGTAAGTAGAGACATACCTCTACTTTGCTTAATCTTTGAAGCACTGTTAGAGGGTAGAGGTATGAACTGTTTAGCTTTGTGTATCATTTAAGGAATTGCCATGGGTGAAATAAATTCTGGAGATTGTCTTGTTCCTTTCTGGGTCTCCAAAATTGCTAGTTTCAATGTATAAACTGAAAATGAAAGTAATCCCTTCCTTCTCAGTTGCTTCTGTACTGGTTTTCTACTATTGTGTGTGTGCATGAATTGAAAGAAAAAAGAAAAACAGAAGAAAGACTAAAGTAATAATATAATAAATAATATAGAATTGCTGTCAATGAGACAGGTGGTCTATAAATGTTATATATGTGTGTTTATGACAGAAAGGGAGAGAGAGAGGGGGGGGGAGAGAAGGAGAGAAAGAGAGAGAAACTTCCAACCTTCATCACAAGTATAAACAAATTTAGTAATTCTTTATCCACTCTAAAGTCACAAACATCTCTTCATCGTATATCCCATCTCTTATCTATAAGCAAATGCATAAACTGTCATCTTTTCAGTGATTTTCTACTATTGTTCTTAATGTTTTTCTCTAGGTTGAGCTCAGATTTTGTGCTGGGGACATTGTGACTGTGCTCAGTTCCATGGATGATGATGGGTTCTATTACGTACGTATCATGCCGCTTTTAAAAAAATTCAAATGGTCCAAACAGTGCTATAGCTGGTAAATCAGAGGGCAGCATTGCTATGAATGGAACTGGGGTTGTGATTGTCCCAAAGGTGTCTTTTCAAGAGGCTTTCTGGTTTATCTTTGAAAGAGGTTTTGCTTCTCATCCAAGAAACTTCTTCAGCTCTGGGACAATCATGACCTGGATGATTGAGAATCTCCATAGACACGGGGGTATGATTGTTTCTATTTTAAGGCCTTGTGGAATATACTGATTATGCCTAAAGCCTCATGTGTGATGGTAACCTTCAGTTGGGTGAAGTGGTGCATCACGTGACAACAATTTTTGAATCAAAAAACCTCAAATGGGCTTACTTACAGAATGCCTCTAAAATCTGGGGTCCATGACTCCCACGAGACTGAAATTTTGGCAAAGTTGTGGCCATTTGAATGCTGTCATGCTGCTATGTCGCTGCACAGCCACAGTCAACCTCATCATGTAATTGTCATTTCCGTGACACTTCCAAGCTCCCTACAAGCTTCCTACAAAGAAAGTCAATGGGAAAGCCAGTAGCAAACTGAAAATCATTCCCAATGTCGTTTTGGCTTCTCTTTGAGTAAGGAAATATTTTTTAAATGACGATCCAACCGGTTGTAGGTTGCCTGGCTGAAGAATTCTACAGTAATGTTTGCCTTCCAGAAAGCATTGCTGATATCAGCAAAAGTGAGGGATCTGAATGTTCCAGTTTGGAAATGAAAGCATCTGCTTTTCTTCTGGAAGGACTCCTGATCTTTTGACAAGTACATAAAGTAATAAGCAGAGATCCAAGATATGAGATATATATCACTTTGCTTGGAAATAGAATGTGCACAAGAGCTTGATGGTAGGATAAAAGGAAAACCATCCCTTTCTCTGTATGCTTTTGAATCATCAAGAGATCTCCAACCAAACACTTCCCTTCTTTATCTGCAGGGGGAGGTAAATGGACAGAAAGGTCTTGTCCCATCTAATTTCCTGGAAGCTTTGCCATCAGATGGAGCATTGGCAAGTGAGCCAAGCCTTGGAAGGCAGGTGAGGGAGACATGTTGCCTGACTGGGACCCAGAGGTGAGGTTTTTATCACAGAACTGGAATGCCAGGAAATATGTGTCTCTTCCTCCATTCATGAATTCCACCAGCCCAGATAACTGAGCTATCTTTGTTTCATTTATCTATTCTTCTATGCCTGTGGCATCCCTCAGCGAGTTAGAAAAAGAAGAATCCAGTGATGCGTGTGAGAAAGTCAAGAGGAAGAGAGAAAGGCAGAGAATAATCACGTAAGTCCCAGATCGAATCCTTCCAGAATGCTTTTTGCCAGTTAGTAAATCTTTTATATAACACTGGACATATTGGCATCAGGATGAGAGCAGAAACGAAATTTTCCTTCCCATTCTGCAAATCAAGGGGCCTACTTCAAACAGATGCTTAAGACTGTCAAGGTAGATCCTTTGAATCTCCCCTCAATTATTGTCCTCTACCCAGAGCCAGTGCTTGCCTACAGCTGGTGTGAACTTGGTATAAAGCTGGCTCTTTATACTAAGTTGTCAGGCATAATTATAATTTCCAATACTTCCTGCCAGTTTCCTACGAAGAAAGTCAATAGGAATGCTGGTAGGAAGTTGGAAGTCACTCCCAGTGGTTTTTCTACCCTCTGTTTAGGCAGGGAAATATTTCTGAAATTGAATATTGGATCACAAGTTGCCTAGCCGAATTCTACATTAATTACTGCCTTTCAGAAAATATCACTGATGTCAGGAAATACAGTGTTCCAGCTTGTAAAAAAAAGTATCTACTTTTCTTCACAAAGAGCTCCTGTCCCTTTGACAAGTGCATACAGTAATGGGCAGGACCCCTCTACAAACAGAATGTGTGCTACTCCCAGATCAGTTTTGTACCCATTTGATCACCTGCCATAACCTTCATTCTGTAGTGCAAGGGTTGTTGTTGCAAAACCAGATCTACTGTAATATGTTTTCCTGGAGTTGCTAGATAGACAATTTTCTGCCGGTTGGAATTCCAAGTTCATTCCACCCTGAAAAACCTCTCTCCACAGACACACACACACACACACACACACACACACACACACACACACAATCACACACACCTCTAAATTTGAACAAGATGCAAATCCATGTATTGTTACAGTCCATGAATGGTTTCTAGTTAAAACTTAATGTGGATATTTATTTCTAAAGTTTGAACTTATTTTGGATCTAGAATTATTTATTGTTGAGGTTTGAGCCAGTGCTATGCATGCAATATTTTGTTTCTCATATTCACTGTTTTTTTATTTCACAGTGGTATCCAGTAGATCATCTGATACATCTTTCATTTTTGCTTAGCACCTGGACCGCCTACTGCCTCAGAGTCTCAGGGTTGGGTGTCTCTTAGGTGTCTCAATCCTGAGACCCTCCCTTTGGGGTATGAAGAAGAACACTGAAGGGAGGGAAAATTCACCCCAGGTCAAGCAAGAAGAATGGTGCTGAGCTCAGCTGCCATAGAACGTTGCAGTAAAAAAGGAATGAATCACGATGTAATCCACCATGGCATTTTATTTCCATGGATTACAAGATGTGTCAAGTGGTTTGGGAAGCAAGTATGAGCTCCAGAAAAGGGTTTCTGTAGAGACCCGTTGCTCACAATCTCTTCTCCCGTGTGTGGTATTGGCTGTAATGTAGTTCAGTGGATGTTCTCTATATTACTTTTCTTCCAGAAAGTATCTTCCTTGTTTTGGAAATCAAAGCTGCTTTTTGGGGCCTTTTCTCTCATCATATCATTTCTCTCAATCCAGAATTTATTTCATCGCCTCTCCTCAACCTGTTGCAAGTGGACGTTTTTCCTCTGGGGAATTGTTCTTCCCAGAAAGAATCGGTCAAGGGTCTAATTTGGCTAGGGGTGGCTGAAGGGTGGTTGAATATATATTACCTGGGAGTTCCTGCCCAAGAGCCTTCGTGTTTGTCAGTGGAAGACTCATACAACTGTCTTCGTATGGATTCTTGTTTTGATATAGCAACTTCTCTTTTTGTGGTACTCTAATGTAAATTGGGTATCTTGCACATTTCTGTCCCTGAGTAGGAATCAGGGCATTTACCATTTTTGATGGTAAGTTAAGGACTTGTCGATTGCCTTGAGGTACATAATTCTGTACAGTACCACGTGATAAATAATTTACTGTAATAATATCGCTAATCATTCCTTGGACATCAGATGTGACCAGCAAGCATTAGTGCAGTGCATAATACCAGACATGTCACTGGAAGGGAAAAAAAAATCACAAAATTGTGTCTCACTTACTTTGGCCACGTCACGTGGGGGAATTCACTGGAGAAAGCAACCATGTTGGGAGGAGTTAGCGGTAAAAGAAAACCAGACCACTGAAGAACATGGTTGCTGGATACCAACAAACTAACACCAACCAGAGCATAGAAAAACTCAAAGAAGTTGTGCAAGATTGGAAGATGTGGGGAAGTCTGGCCGCTAGACTCACTAAGATTTGGACACAGTTAAATGGATAATATCATCATCATCATCATCATCATCGCTAATCAGCTGACGGAATTTTACTTATCTATTCTTACCTTTCTCACAGTTTTTCCTGGAATACATTCAAACAGTTTGAAGCCTCTGAATATAAAATCTCATTAATATATTTTGTCAGGCGACTGCTCCTATAAAGTACCATGTATGGGGAAAACATTACTTCTGCTCCAGGTATGTCTTGGGAGCTCCCACAATGCCAGCTGAGATGTGGGGGGTATCATCTCATAAGCATCCAAATTATCCAGCTACCCAAGATCTAGGAAGGAGATTCCCCCCCCCCCCCCATCCTACATCCCTGCTTCCAATCTTTGCATTTTCATTAGTGAGGCTTTGACATTCCCACTGTCTTTTGGTCCACAGATTGTTACTGGCTAAAGGTGAGAGAATCAGAAAGTCAGGCTCACCCTCAGTTAAGGACTACTCTATGTAACATGTCCAGACTACAGATCATGACATTTACCTGATACATGGGGAAAAATCCCCCCAAATTCTACCGTCTAGTAAAGCGTGGAGATGATTTCTGGCTACAGAACTGTAGAATGTATGCAACTCAAGAAGAGTTATAATAGCTCGTTTAGATCTTCTGTGCTAGATATACAACTTAAGTAAGCTTTCTGTTTTCCATAGTTAGACTCTACTCAGAGTGTAAAGGTAATAAGTCTCCTTGGCTATTGCCTTCAGATATTGGTATTCACAAGTACACTACACCTGAAAAGGAGAGGTTTCATTTCATCTAATCTCAAGGGGTATCTTATTTCTGCTCCATCAAGTTAACTAGTTTCTCCTTTAATACCATTTAAGCCTATGGGCATTAACACATAGTGCAATATAAATTATGTATTTTGAGAAGGTCTCTGTCCTGAATTTAAACTCTGTGTACAGCATTGATGGATTCCCAATGCTGACATTTTGAGTTTGGAAAAAAAGACTGTTTCAACCTTCACTAATTCTCCAGCTTCCAGATTCATTGGGACTACAGCTTCCATTCCCAACTTGGAACATCATGGGTGAAAATCCTAAGAATTGCAATCCTAACAACTCTGGAAAGTATCTATTTTATGGAAAGCTGCTCTTTCTCTTGTACACCCCCTGTATAATTTATAATCCTCTGGAGTTTCTGCTTCACAGTTGCCTAGATCAATTCTTGATCGCTGCCTATTATTGACATTGAGATTGCCAGTTGACCTTGACTTAAATGGACCATCAATTGGGTTGCATTTACTTCATTTCATAAAAGATGTTCAACTCACCCTTAGCCTATGTCCAAGAATATATCAAAATGCAGACTGTACTGTATTATGGAAACATACGCTTTCTTTAAAATAGCTCTGAATGGAATCTTGATTCTTTTCTTGGTAGAAGACGTCTTTGCCTGGATCAAAGTTGGACCTAAAATTGGAACCATGTTCTTATGAAGTGAAATTCTGATGCAAATGTCCACTACTGAAGAAACACTTTGAGAGGGAGGGAGGGATAGGAAAAGAAGGAGAGAGGGGTGGGGAGAGAGAGAGAGAATGGCTAAGTTGGATTAAGTTGTTGATATGTACACGTATGAGAGTTTATCCTTTATCCCTGGTTACTGGCATTGTCCTTCTCCTCTGGTCTGCCTTTTGTAAGATTTCCAGCTGCTGAACTAAGCAGCTCTAATGGTGAGGATCAGTGGACAATGTGTCAGCCCATGTGCCTAGCCTGTGGGAAGGGGAACCCCTTATTCCTATTTCATGACCGAGAGATTTGTGTGTGCGTGTTTTAATAAATGTGCCCCCCATTCTTGCAGCCAATGAACCTCTGCATGTTTGTTGGGAGAAAGAATCATCTTGTTTTGTTCAATATGGATTATTGAGAAGGGACGTTGGATGAGCTATGTTTTTATTTAAAAAATAATAATTTATTATATTAAAGTCTATTTTCACAAAAAAAAATCAAGTGTTCCTATCAGAAATTTGCTTCTTTTTGGAAGAGGTTGGTGGGGGCTGAATGCAATTATTCAGTTGCCCTGATGGTGATGGTAGATTTACATCCCACCTTTCCTCTAGGACAGGGGTACCCAACCTTGGCAACTTTACAGGACTTTACAGGACTTCAACTCCCAGAATTCCTCACCAGCTTTACTGGTCTTTGGGCACTTGGGTTAGAAGAGGAAGCCAACAGAAGGGTGTTTAATTTCTTTGCAGCTTCCAAATACCTGAAATCTTTAAGTGTATGAGAAAATACTAGCAGAAAGCGGTAATGGGGTCCAGAAATATCCTATGGAGTGTACTATAGGAGAATTTGGCAGTGCTTCGTAACATTTACATGGCATATTCCTCTGTGGGACACAAACAAAGACAAGCAGATGAAAGCAATTACCACTTTCTCTATTCACACAGGCTGAAATTTTTGAGCGACTTAGTAGTATGCTGTTCATCTTTCCCATACTGGTAGTTGTCTACTTACTTGACAGACCTCCCCAGAGCTACTTATGACCTGCTTTCAGAATTATGGCAGCCAAACATTATACACACCCCAGGGTCACGTGATCGCTTTTTGAATATTTGGCAACCAGCTCACCTTTATAGCATTTGCAACATCCTGCAGTTGCTTGACCACAATTTGCAATATGTTTCACCAGCTTCCAACATTTACTTCTAGTTTTTGGCAAAAAACAAACAAACCCAGAGGCTCCCATTAGAATAGATCAGGAGTAGTGATTCAGATGGGAGTGGCCTGATGACC